ACCACCCAGCTCCACAACTTATTCTTAATACAGCAAACTTACACAAAGTACAAATGTGCAAGACCGAAAATGGCTTGTAGCAGGTACTTGGACAGGGGTGGTGAGATTTTTCTGTGTAGCCAGGGCATTTTCTCAGAAAGAATTAAGGAGGACACCTCTGCTCTGCTGAGTGGCATCTAAAATTAACTGAGATGCCCTCCCCTTCTAGGGCTTAGAGGTTGCTGACACAGGTGGGACTATAGGAAGCGGGGACCCCGGACTCTCTCTTCACCATAAGAAGAGGCTTTAGAGCTTTCTTCACTCTTAACTCTGTAAAGATGACCTGTGATTCAGGTGCAGTCATTCATTTTATTTATTTGTTTGTTGGCTTGTTTTTGAGATAGGACCTCCCTGTAGCCTAGAACTCATGATCCTCTTAACCCAGCCCCCAAGTGTTGGGAGTGGGCCACCACAACAGCTCTAAGTGCAATAATGTAGAGAAGAATAAAGCAAACAAGCTTTCTGCTTCACCTCTGAAAACTAGAAATCCAAGTCACTGGGACTGTAGACATCTGGTTTGTCACCTTTCATAATGAACCCACCTTTCCAAGCACCAAATTCAAGTCCAGTGCATTTGTGGTTAAAGGCATGGGCTCATCAGCTTGCAGGATGTTGGTTACATCCAAGTCTGCATCTGGAGTGTGAATCATCTTTGAAAGGCCATCAACTGCTGCCTTCAACTCATACAAGCGCTTTAAAATATCATCTTGGCGGGATTCAAGGGCTTGCAAAGATAGCTCAGATGTTTCCTAAAAAAACCAACATCTTGAGTGGTCACTTCCTGTAATATCATAGAGTTCAGCTTAAATTAGATCAACTGAAGTTCCACCTTCTAAAAACACACCATGGACCAGTAAGATGGCTCAGTATATAAAGGTGCTTGCTGGCAACCCTGAAATTCTTGAGTTCTATCAGCCAGACCCACATGGTGGAAGGAGAGAACCAACTTCTGCAAGTTTTCCTCTGACCTCCACATCGATGCCACAGTAGACACTCTCTTCCCCACCAAAATAAATGGATTTAAAAAAAATAAAAATTAAGACTCTCTGAAGCGACAGAACCATCTCCTTTCATCCAGTCCAAGGGATCCTGCAAATGAATCACAATGCTCTATAACAAGGAAGAAACATGACTGAGCATGACTTTGGGGGCTGGAGAGATGTCTCAATAGTTAGGAGTACTTGCTGCTCTTCCAAGGGGTTGTTTGGTTTGTAGCACCTACAATAGGAGGCTCATCACTGACAGTAACTCCAGGTCTAAGAGATCTGACACCCTCTTCTGGTTCCCACAGGCACCCACACACATCATTCACTCACCCAGACATACACACATACATATAAATAAGAATAAAAACAAAACTTAAAAAATAGTTGATTTCCCATTTCAAGAAATTCAGACAAGAAAAGAAAATGAAAACAAAACACTATTCTTCCCCTAGCACTTCTTTTTTTTTACTTTGAGACACCGTTTCAGTATATAGACTGAACTGGTCTGGAATTCACAATCCTGTTTCAGTTTCCAGTGTGCTGGGATTATAGGTGTGCATCGCCAAGCCTGAAAGAAACAAAACACCCAACTTTTTTAAAAACAGAAGGTCTTTGCTATGTGTTGTCCAGGATGGCTCTTGAACCTCTGTGCTCACGTGATCTTCCTACCTAGTACCCAAAATCCTTTATTCTCAATAACAGGCTAATTAAACATACTTTGCTTGGGCTGGAGAGATGGCTCAGAGGTTAAGAGCATTGACTGCTCTTCCAAAGGTTCTGAATTCAATTCCCAGCAACCACATGGTGGCTCACAACCATCTGTAGTGGGATCTGGTGCCCTCTTCTGGCCTACTAAATAAATAAATCTTTAAAAAAAAAAACTTTGCTTAAGGTATAGTGGTGCACACCTGTAATATCAGTATTTGGGAAGTTGTGGCAGGAAGATGTAGAAGTTTAAGGACAGCCTTAACTGTTACATAGCAAATTTGAGAGTAGCAGAGACTATATAAGACACTGTCTCAACCATACATCCCCAGTGTATCCCCAAAGACTATGCTTGAAAGAGCAGAGAAATGATGGAGAAGGGAAATAGAAAATAATTTATGCAAATAACGGGGAGAAAGAAACTCTTTTTTTTTAAATTTATTATTATGTGTATGGATGTTTTTGCTTGCATGTATGTCTGTGCACATTTGTGCACCAGTGCCCAGAGTCCAGAAGAGAGAGAGAGTTGGATATCCTGGAACTGGAGACATACAGTTGTAAGTTTCTTTATAGGTTCTGAGAACCACACCAGGCCCCCTGCAAGAACAAGTGCTGTTAAGCAATGAACCATCTCTCTAGCCCTGAAACTCAGGTTTTGAAGTATCCTTCAGTATAAGGGTATCGGTTTTCTCTTACCAGTGTGTGCATGTGTGTGTAGAGAGAGAACTACAATGGCCTTAAATGAAACCTCCCAAATGTGTGTATGTATACATATATGTGTATATGTATGTGTGTATATGTATGCATGCATATATATAAAGAGAGAGAGAACCACAATGTCTTTAAATGAAACTTCCCAAAAGTTACATAGGGGTACAACACCATGTTCCATGCTCAGCACTCCAGTCTCTTTTAACAGCTTGTAGGAAGCCCTATCCCACCAGGGCCAAATTAGCAGCTACTAGATCCAAAATTGAATCAACACACACTGAAGCAAGTGTGAGGCATGAACTGTGAATATAACAGGACTGTGATTTCTGAGTTGTAGTCCAGCTTGATCTAGGTTCTCCTGTGCTGAGTAACACCAAAATGCTCAAGGTCTGCTTTACCTCACTACTCTCTCCAATGCTGGCTTCTTGTTCCCTTGCTGAGAGTAAATTGTGAGGATCCACTGGTTTCATTTTATGTATTTAAAAGCAGTCAATTCATTGTGTGGCTCTGATTTCTAATTATGTGTCCATTCATGTTGTTATACTCTGCTAGAGGAATTGGTACTGCAGCAGAATGTGTGTCATCTAAATCAGAAGTTCAGAGATGTTCATGAAATTCTGAGCATGACATAGCTGCTGTCATCTTGCAATCAGAGTGGCTTTGTATCCCATGGTTCCCTCATAAGATTGGGTTCACTAGCATGGAAGGGGGAGGGGGCTTATGGGGCTGAACAGGAGCACCCTCCCCCGAGGATATACAACAGTTAGTATTAGCTGGGAGTACTTACAAGTAGTGATGAAGCTGCTTGTATACTGGCCACATGCCAGTAAGTTACCCCTATTAAACACACTGACTTTCCAAGCCAGACTTTTGGTGGAATTCTTGGGTCTGTTTTTGCTTCTGCCCTGAGGCAAATAGATGTCTGTTCAGGTCTCCCCAGGAAAGTCACACAATGTCAAAGTTTAAACAAAGTAAGGCAGACTTTAAATTAGGCAGAGCTGGAGATGTAGCTCATTAGTAGTACTTATTCAGCATATGGGAATCCATCTCCAGGAAAACAAACAAAATAACCCCACCCCCTAAAAAAAGACCTAGGTGGCTGAATGAGGGTGACAACCCTACTCTTGAGTTCTTTATTGTTCCCGAGGAATATACAGTTGAAGGTGCATTTGACCTCTCCTCTATAACTGTCTCTAGTTAAAGGACCATTGAACCTTGTCTGCTGTTGTTTTCAAAGCACTGCAGTTAGACTCTAACAGTTAATATCACTAGGTTGTGGGTTAACCACTTCTCTTCCAGTATAGTAAGATAAAGGATGCCAAGTAACAAGAAAATTGACCACAACAGCATCTATTTACACATCTATCCAAAATGCCAGAATTGAAAAACATGGAAAGCTAAACATTTTGAATTAGGTAAAGTGGCAAGCACTTCTAATCCCAGCACTTGGGAGGTGGAGGCCAGAAAAGGAACTCAGGATCACCTTTGGCTACACGAGTTCAAAGACAGCAGCCCTACATGAGTTCAAAAGGCCCTCGTGTTCTGCATGAAAAAGTATTTCAACTTACTTAGAAACTTGAGAAATGAAATTAAAACATTAGAATGCCTACATTATCCAGCTAATGACAGCATAAACCGGTATAACCACTTTGGAAAACAATTTATCCAAGTAAAGTGGAAGACAGACCTGCTCACTAGACCAGGAATTACTGTACTGCATATTTATGTTAGCTGATCTATAAATTCCAGTGCCCATGAGTGGGGGCAGGCAGTGTAAAGGAACATGATCACTTTCGTTGTTGCAACAAAAATGATTGAAAATCTTACACGCCAGACAAGAGAACACATACTATATCCTTACAGTGCATCAAGAATACATAGCTTAAGGATACATACTCAACAACCTAACCGCGAAAACCAACACATAACTACAGTAAAAGTCGGGACCTCTGTGGAAAAGTTGCAAACCGGAAGGATGGGTCACTAAAACTGTCAAACCGAGTTATTGTGACCCCGGGCTCGCTCTGCAAATTCCTCGGAGTGATCATTTTCGTATTAACTTTTCTGTGCGGTTGGCGATCGCGAAAGGAACCCACAGCAGCACTGACCCAGGTGGGTTTTGTCGGGACCAGGGTCGTAAGCAGCTGCAGCGCCGGCGCACTAGACAAGGAATGGGACAGGGCGCGGCGCGGCCGGCGCCTGCGCACTAGGCAGGGGCCGCATGCTCCTACCTGCACGTGGCCCGCGTCGGTCGCGGGGCTGGTGGTCTTGCTGTGCACGTTGGGGAGCCGGTACATGCAGGTTGGAAGCTCTACACGCAGAGGTGCGCTGCCTCCATGATAGGACTTTACCTGGTACATCGGCATGGTGAGAACCAAAGGAAGGAAGGTAGCGGGCGAGGGACACAAACGTTCAGAGGCCGCCCAAGGCCACCTCAGACAGTAGCCGCCTTCTTTCTGACCCTGCTGCTGGCGTTCCGGGGGGGGGGGGGGGGGAAATGAAGTCCGTGAGTCTTTATTGGCCGGGGCGTTCTGACGTCACCAACTCGACCTTTGAAATAGCCAATCAATAGTAAGGAGTTCTTGACACGCCTTCCCTGCCCCTTCCGGAAGGGGCGGGGCTCTGTGTCAAAAGCAGCCAATGGGTGTCCCAGGAGATGATTCTCCAGGAGAGCAGCGGCGCGAACTCTCCCTACAGTTCCTGAGACTGGAGGAGTGCTAAATCCATGGAGCCAACCGAGGGCGCGAGGTGAGCCGGGCTTGCAGTCTCCCCCTCCGGGCGCATTCCCTGGAGTTCCCGGTATTCGGCGTCCTTGAAAGGACCGGAAGCGGCTGAGGGCAAGTTCGCGGACCCAGAACGGCGTTCTCCTCACGCTGGGCCTGGTTCCGTGAGGAAACTGAAAGCCCCAGGCGATCCCTAGGACTCCTCAGGCCACAGGCCTGTGGGTTTAAAGCCGAACATGAAAATAAATTCCTATGGACAGAATTCGTTTGGTTTGGTTTTTTTCTTTTTTGAGTCTTTATAATTAAGACTTGGAGAGTCTGTCAAAGGCTTTCGCTGACTTTGCAGTCAATAGGGTTTTTTTTTTTTAGCTTTTATTAAGTTGCGTTGCCTCTGTGTATTTGCTATCTTGTTCACAAGTGTCATCAAAGTCAGTGAAGCATGTCTTCGAGGCCAGCACAGTTACTGATAGATTTGTAGATGCAAATTTGCTCTCTGTATTTAAATACTGTGACTTCCCCATGCTCAAAGTACCGGAAATAGACATGTTGCAAAATAAACTAGTTTGAGGTAGTTTGAATTTTATGTGAGATCCTCTGAAGTTAGACGTTATAGGCAGTGAAATTATTTTGTTTTTGAGGTAGGGCTTTGAACTCATGATCCTCCTACCTCAGATACCCGAGTGCTGTGATTAAACCATCCCGGGGCCAAACAACTGAGATTCTTTTCAAGGTAGAATGGAACTTGTCATAGTCAGGAAACCATTCTTTACTGTGACTAAACCATAGGAGAATTGATGATGGTAAATTGGAACCTAGTCATGATTGGACTTTAAACCTCATAAATGTGTACCACTAAAAATTTAAGCCTGAGGATTGTTTGACCGAATTTGTGATTACAGAAATAACTGATGGGAACCAGGCTCGTTGGCCCACTGGTGGGGTGGAAACAGGAGGATCAGGAGTTCAGAGTTGCACTTGACTACATAGGGTGTTTGAGGCCCTCCTGGGCTAGGTTGGACCCTGTGTCAAAAGAAACAAAAAGCAAGCCAAAATGAATGGTAGTAAGAATAGATTGGAGACAAGCCAGTAATTAAATTGAAGCCAGTACAGCAGCAAGAAACTTGAACAGCTGAGTGTATGGTAGTGCAGGGCTGTGATCCTATCATCTGGGAGGCTGAGATGAGGACCTTGAATGCTAAGCCAGTCCAGGCTGTGTAGAGCCTTTGTCTCAGACATGAACTTTGAGGACTTTCCTCAGAGCAGTATAGGCAGTTTGGATTTGGAGTCAGTTTTCAAAAACAAACTTAAACTTTTTACAAATTGTGTAAAAGAAAAAAAAAGTTGCTTTAACTTTTCAAGAACGAAAACGTCATTGTCGTAAAGGCTTGCTGATCTGTAGCTTGAGGGATACATGTCTCCTCCAGGTAGATGCATGTATAATTAGAATTTCAATATAAGATAGTTTTAAATATGTACTAACAGATGTTTAAAGATTGTAGAACATTCATATCTTCAAGGATAATGAGTGTGCTCATATAAAGAATGAATAGGGCTAACTGGGCAGTGGTGGTGCATACCTTTAGTCCCAGCACTCAGGAGGCAGACACAGGTGGGTGTCTGAGATTGAGGCCAGCCTGATCTACAAAACCAATTCCAGGACAGCCAGGGTTGTTACACAGAGAAACCAGAGAGAGACAGACAGACAGACAGACAGACAGAGAGGGTTAGGCTAGTAAACAAACAGATGGATCATTTACCATAGTGAAAATAAGTTATCTGCTTTATCTAAATATTTGCTTTGTGTTTGTTTGATTTTATTTTTTTAGTACAGAACATGCTAAGGCCATCAAGCCTATTGACGCAAGGTCAGTCCATCAAATTTGTTCTGGGCAGGTGGTACTCAGCTTAAGCACTGCTGTGAAGGAATTGATAGAAAATAGTGTGGATGCTGGTGCTACTAGTATTGGTAAGTTTGGAAAAGTTTTAAGTAACAAGAAATAGTCATTGTGTTATTTAAGAAACATTACTGAAATGTTAGAAAACAATCAAATCTTGTCATACCAATAGTTATTATTCTGAAGTTAGTACTTAGTTGTCATGTGAGAGACTTTTCCTGGGGAAATACAACACACACAGGTCTACTCACCATTGATAGGGAACTCTGACAGACTGATGTGCCACATTCCAGCATGTTGAATTAATGAGTTTTCATTGATGTTACAATGGAAATATGGGGAAGGGGATTATTTACGGGATCAGGAATGATTCAAAAGCAACTGTATTACCAAAACACCTGCCCCCACTTAAGTGGTGATCCCTGAAGTCTGCATCCCAGGAGCTTTGCCAGCCTTGGAGTTTCAGCTTCCCCAGACTTGTGACATTTATTGACCTCTGGAGTCTCATGAGCCTCCTCCATCCTGGAGGGGATCTTTCAAATCAGAGAAAACTGTATACAATAATTCTGTGCCTAATATTTAGCCATGGAATAAGTTAAATTACACTGTGTGTAGGTATTGTGCTAAAGATTATATATGGGATGTGGTATTTAGTATGTAGACTATCATGATTTGGGAGTTACTATCTCTGTTATAGAGAGGAGGAAACAGAAGTACCAGGAATTTGATTTTATTGAGGCTATACAGGTCTTAAAATGTGATCTAGAAACTCTGATTGCAGAGCCTGTTCTTACATTTTTGGTTGTGAGTCTAGGCTTGCTGAGCCATCACTCCAACCTGAGCCTGTTCTTCTTAATGACTATATTAAAAGCATTACTTTTTAAATAATAATAATAATTTAACTATTTAATCTGGCTTTACGGGACTGGAGAGATGGCTCAGCGGTTAAGACCACTACTGCTTTTCCAGAGGATCTGGGTTCAGGTCCCAGCACCCACATGGCAGTTCACAACTGTCTGTAACTACAGTTCCAGGGTACCCAACACTTTCACATAGGCAAAACACTGATGCACATAAAATTAAAATAAGTAAATTATTCAGAAGGACTTTCAACAATAAAACATGCAGAGCTAGGGTTGTGACTGTTCTAGAGTGCTTGCCTGGTGTCTATAGCATCCTGGGCTTGGTCTTCAGTGCCACATACATACATTCACGCACCCTCACAATGACAGCAGTATCTTTAAGTAAAAGTGTAGACATGACTGCTAAGCTTGCATTCTTTGTTATGAATATTGTCAACATCAAAGCATTTAGTATGGATTAATCATTGAGAAATAAATATGTTGAATTTTTCAGATCTCAGGCTTAAAGACTATGGGGTGGACCTCATTGAAGTTTCAGACAATGGATGTGGGGTAGAAGAAGAAAACTTTGAAGGTCTAGGTAAGATAAATATTCCAAATAATAAAGCAGTCGTTTCCATAAGTCTCAGAAGTTTGAGTAACACTGTTTTACACCACATATTGTGATAGATGTTGTGTATGTCCTTAAGTCTATCACTTAAGATATTTTTGGTCTTTCTTTCCACTCTTTCAGCTCTAAAACATCACACTTCTAAGATTCAAGAGTTTGCCGACCTGACTCAGGTTGGAACGTTTGGCTTTCGGGGGGAAGCGCTGAGCTCACTGTGTGCACTGAGGTGATGCTTCTCATTTTCATCAATCTGATGCTTTATGTAAAAACTTCTAAAAATGCATAAGCATAGTTAGAATCTTGAAGGCTTTCCCTTTACTATTGGAATATCTGACACTAACGTCTGAATTCTGTTTTATCTGACTGCCACTGTGAGAAATAAAGGAATGAAATGAAGCACATAATATTGTAAAAAAGCCACCACCTGTCTTAAAACAGTTATTTATTAACCTTGAATTATCACAAAGGCTGGGGGTGTAGCTTAGCAGCAGAGTGCTTGCCTACAGTGCATGATGCTTGGGGTCAACCAGTAGCACTGCAAATATAAATAAAAATAAAGTAATGATAGTTGATAAATTATGAGTACCATCAATTTCAGTTTTTAGGAAAAAATGTAATGAAAGCCCTATTTAATTACAGTGAAGTTACAAATTTTTATAATTGTGTCTTTTGGATTCTTTGTGAAAGTTTTGTTAGTAGCTAAATTGAGGAATAAAGCTTTGAGAATAGTATTTGCCATCCTTCATTGTTTTGCAACTCAACCTAAAGAATGAAATCCTTCACAAGAACAAAGCATTTATGAAACTGTCTCACTATCCTCTGGGCCCAACTCTAGATCTTATGGTGACTCCTTACTTATTAAAACCTAAATTGTCTTAGAAGAATAGCACCCTTTCAAGAAAGTTCTGAGAGAAAGGAAAGCGGAAAAGGTTTTCTGCACCTAACCCTTGTGAGCGCCCTCGGGTTCTCACACAGAGACCTCTGCAATGCTAGGGACTGAACTGTGAGTTGGAAGCAAGTGCTAGGCAAGTGTTCTACTTCTGATCTGCATCCCAGCAGCCCTGTGCGTCTCTAACTGGACATTCTCTTACAGTGATGTCACTGTATCTACCTGCCATGTGTCTGCAAGCATTGGGACTCGACTGGTGTTAGACCACAATGGGAAAATCACCCAGAAAACTCCCTACCCCCGACCCAAAGGAACAACAGTCAGTGTGCAGCACTTATTTTATACACTACCTGTGCGTCACAAAGAATTTCAAAGGAATATTAAAAAGGTATTGGTAAACTCACAATCCCAGCCTTCAGAAGTTTTGCTAATATAGTATATGAGTAAGAAACTTATCAAAGATGTTTATCAGTTGATTTTCTTTCTTTAATTTAAAAATGTAAAAAAAAAAGTTGTTTTTTTTTTTTTTTTGAGAGGGGTTTCATTATGTATGTTCTGGCCTTTACTTGGAAATTCCTACCTCCATCTCCTAAATGGGGGAATTACAGGTGTGTGCCACCATGCCCTGCTGTTCTTAAAACAGGATCACACCAGCTATACTACTGCATACCTGACTTTTCACATATTGTAATTATCTTTTTTTGGTAACTTTGTACTATCTTTTCATCATTCTTCCATTATATGGATATACTTAACTTAATTAGCTCCTTGTCAATGGTTGTTTACTTTGTTTCTAAGGGTTTGTTTGCTTTAGTTTATTTTTTATCTTATGTGTATGAGTGTTTTGCCTGCCTATATGTCTGTATGCCACATACATGTCTGATGCCATAAGAAAACACTGAGTCTCCTGGGACTAACGGTACATAAGACACTTGAGACACCATGTGAGTCTCAACAAATGCTCTTAAAATTTGAGCCAACTCTTCAGCCCTGTTTCTAAGTTTTTAAAGTTACTTATTATTTCAACAAACACTATTTTTTTTTCTTTATTTTTAGTGAACCTCTTTTGGTTTGGTTTGGTTTGGTTTGGGCTTTGGGTTTTTTCAGGTTTGTGACAGGATCTCATACTATAGCACAGGCTGACCTGAAACTCACTACATAGCCGAGACTGACCTCAAACTCAAGATGGTCCTCCTGACTCAGCTTCCTAAATGCTAGGATTACAGATGTGGGCTACTGTCTTAGTTAGGCTTTCTGTTGCTGAAATAAAACACTCTGATCAAAAGCAACTTGGGGAGGAAAGGATTCATTTCAACTTATGTATTCTGATTGGGTCCATTATGAAGGGAAGTCAGCTCAGAAACTCAAAGCAAACTTTCTAAAAAGCCAAAACTAAAGTAAAGACCATGGAAGAATACAGTTGTTCCCCACAGTTTGATCAGCCTGCTTTTTTATACCATCCAAGGCCACCTGCCCAGAGGTGGTACCACCCCCCAAGGAGATGGGCCCTCAACATCAATCATTAATCAAGAAAATGCCCCCACAGGCCAGTCTGTTGGGAGCATTTTCTCAGGTGGGGTTACCTCTTCCCAAATGCCTCTAGACTGTGTCAAGTTGAGAGACCTTACAGAACAAGTCAGTTAGTAACCATAACCATGGTAGCTAACATGCCCAACTAGTGAACATTTTTTTCGATGTCTTTGTATATTTATGCTAGCCTTTATATAAGGATAAAACTTCTTATAAAACAAATCAAATAAAGGAGCCAGGATGGTGGCGCACACCTATAATACCAGGATTCAAGAGGTATAGGCAGAAAAACCTCAAATTGTAGGCCATCTTGAATTACATAGGAGACCATGTCTTAAAAAACAAGAAGGATAAATTTCTAAATGGAGCATTCTAAGTTCAGAGGACATGCATTTGTTTTGTTTTAGTTTGAGAAAGGTCTCCACTTCATTGTCCGGGCTGGCCTGGGCCTCATGATCTTCCTACTTAACCCTCCTGAATTTTGATGATCATAGACATGCACACACCACACCTGGCTTAGAAATGTACTTTGTGTGTATGTGTGTATGTGGGTGTGTGTGTTTATGTGCATGTGGAGGCCAGAGGCCAACATTTTGTGTCCTCTGTCACAGTCCACTGTATGTTTGGAGTCAAAGTCTTTCTATCTAGCCTTGGATCTCACAAGTTTTACTGACTTGCTGACCAGAGATCCTCCTGTTCCCACCTTGCCACCACACCCTGCTGTTTTACATGAGGCTGGGATTGAACTCAGGTGCTCAAGCTTGCCTAGCAAGCATTTTACTGAGTTATCACCCCAGCCCTTAGGATGCACTTCTGATGATGGCACACCAACTGCAGATGGGAGTGCAGTGACTAGAAGTCAAAGCTGAATGTATTTTACAGTATACATGGGAATGATTGTATGTCCTGTTCTGTTTTCAAGGCTGTGTAGAACCTTGAGTTGGATGTTATAAGTGTAGCCATGCAATTCCTGTAAGATCAAAATAATCTTGTATTTGTTTCTCAAACAGGAGTATGCCAAAATGGTCCAGGTCTTACAGGCATACTGTATCATTTCAACAGGCATCCGTGTAAGTTGCACTAATCAGCTTGGACAAGGAAGACGGCAACCTGTGGTGTGCACAAGCGGAAGCTCCAGCATGAAGGAAAATATCAGCTCTGTGTTTGGCCAGAAGCAGGTTGGGGCTGACCAGCTACTGGAAAATATTTTGGTTTTTAGATTCATTGTTTTAATTATGTATATGTTGGGGGGGTCTGCACAGTGCTGGTGCCTGCAGAGATCAGAGGTATAGAATCCCCTTGGAGCTGGAGTTACAGTTGGTTGTGAGCCACCTGACATGTGTGTTCTTAACCCCTGAGCCATCGTTTCAGTCCCTTGAGAAATGTTCTTTTGCTCTGGTGATTGTAGGAGGTTTTATTGTCCTTCACAGAGACTGAAACCCAAAAAGGAGATATTTAAGTACCCTATAGCTAAAGTTAATGTTTGGGAGCTGAATGTCATAAAGTAGGAGCTCAGGTGATTTGTTTTCTAGTAAACAAATTGAACTCATTATAGCAAGCACTACAAAGTAGTTGTCAAGATTCTTTGATTTTATTTATTTGTTTGGTTGTTTGCTCTTAATGAGGCATAGCTTGACCTGGAAAGAAAATGTCCTTTATTTTCCCTGAAGTTTGGTGCCTTCAGTCTTTTTTTTTTTTTTTTTTTTGGTTTTTGGTTTTTCGAGACAGGGATTTCTCTGTGTTTTGGAGGCTGTCCTGGAACTCACTTTGTAGACCAGGCTGGCCTCGAACTCACAGAGATCCACCTGCCTCTGCCTCCCAAGTGCTGGGATTAAAGGCGTGCGCCACCAACGCCCGGCTGGTGCCTTCAGTCTTAATAGCCATTACTCTTGTTTCCTTCAGTTGCAGAGCCTCATTCCTTTTGTTCAGCTGCCCCCTAGTGATTCTGTTTGTGAAGAGTATGGCCTGAGCTGTTCTAAGACTCCACATAGTCTTTTCTCGTAAGTACATTGACTGCAGCCAGGACAGCTACAACTAGTTTTCCGGAGGGTGTTGTTTGTGTTTGTTTGAATAGTGATTTTAAGGTGTAAAGTGACTCTGTACTGTTAAGAAAGAATGCATAAAAAAGACTTTATCTTCATTCAAGCAGTAGCTGGATAACTGGTACCTTTAAGAGGGTTTTCTGTTGAATTTGTCTCCTTTAGTTAGAATAATTTTAATTATTCTATGTATAATGTTTGACCTTTGGAATCTATTAAAGTTGCCCAGCTGTAGTGTGTTTTAGAGTATCAAATATAGACCGTTTTCAAGAGATGCCTAGGAGCTAAAGTAGAGACCACAGAGGAATGCTGCTTACTGGCTGGCTTGCCAAGCCTTGGTAAGTTCTCTTATATAACCCAGACTCACCTATCTGGAGTGGCACTACCCATAATGGGCTGAGCCCTCTCGAATTAATCATTAATCAAGAAAATGCCTCACAGATGTAGCCACAAACCATTCTGATGGAAGCAGTTTCAAAATTGAGATTCCTTCTTTCCAAGTGATTCTAGTTTGTGTCAGTTAACAAAAACTAGCTAGCATAGAGGGACATGCTAGCAAGAAACTCATCATCGCTTTAAGTACCTACATAAAAGTTCATGTTTAGGAGCTAAAATATTTTGTTATATTTTTAATTTTATGGTTGCAGAGAATAAATTTTGTTTTGTTTTTAGAGACAGAGTTTCTCTGCATCGCTTTGGAGCCTGTCCTGGAACTTGATCTGTAGACCAGGCTGCCCTCAAACTCACAGAGATCTGCCTGCCTCTGCCTCCTGTACTGGGACTAAAGGTGTGCAACACCATTGCCCATCAAATTTTGTTTTGTTTTGTTTTTAATGTGGATTCTGGAATCTAATCAGGTCTAAGAATTGATCACCTGAGCTATCCTCCTTGCCCTGAGAATGATTTTTACAAGGAAAGGGAATGTGTGACTGATTACTCATGTGGTATTTATCCTGATGAGCAGGCCACCAGCTGTCTGTTCTAACTTGATTTTAAGAATGTGGTCTGTGGCCGGGCGTTGGTGGCGCACGCCTTTAATCCCAGCACTTGGGAGGCAGAGGCAGGCGGATCTCTGTGAGTTCGAGGCCAGCCTGGTCTACAAGAGCTAGTTCCAGGACAGCCTCCAAAGCCACAGAGAAACCCTGTCTCGAAAAACCAAAAAACCAAAAAAAAAAAAAAAAAAAAAAGAATGTGGTCTGTGAGCCGGGTGGTGGCATACACCTTTAATCCCAGCACTCTGGAGGCAGAGGCAGGTGAATCTCTGTGAGTTTGAGACCAGCCTGATCTACAAGAGTTAGTTCCAGGACAGCCTCAAAAGCCACAGAGAAACTTTGTCTTGAAAAACAAACAAACAAACAAAAAAAGAATGTGGTCTGTGACAAGCTGGGTACCATGGCACACACTTGGAGTCCTAGCACTAGGGGCTGAGGCAGAAGGATCATGATCTACATGGTGACACTCTGCCTCAAAAAGGAAAAGAAAGTGTCCTGTGCTGTTATGACCTTTTTTTCGTGTCAGAACTGTCATTCCTGTATTCCTCTTGACAGCATTTCAGGCTTCATTTCACACTGTACACATGGTAGCGGGAGGAGCTCAACAGACAGACAGTTTTTCTTCATCAATCGGCGTCCTTGTGACCCAGCAAAGGTATTTTCATTGTTTACTTGCTTTCTTGCTTCTTTTGAGACTCATGTAGCCCTGTTTGGCCTCAAACTTCACTGTATAGCCAGAACTGGCCTTGAGCATGATCCTCCTCTACCTCCTCCTCGTGAGTGCTGGGATTACAGGTTAGGACCACTATGTCTGGTTTATGTGATACTAGTACTTGAACCCAGGGCTTCATGCATGCAAGGCAAACATTCTACTGACTGAGCTATCTCAACCCTTCATGACTGTCTGATATATACAATTTACATGGAACTTGGAGCTGACTCAGAAATATGCCTTTAAAATTATGTTACGTGGGGACTGGAGAGATGACTCAGTGATTAGGAGCAGCCAGTGTTCAATTCCTAGGTTGAATTCCCTGAGCCTACTTGATGGCTCAAAACTGTCTGTAACTTCAGTCTCTGAGGATCTGATGCCCTCTTCTGGCCTCTTTTGACACTAGTGTATATGTGATACATAGACATAATGCAGACAAAACATCCATACACATGAAAATAAGTAATAAATTTTTAAAAATTACCTTATCTTATGAGTTTAGGAAAGTCTACACTTGTTTCAATTTTATGTGTATATAAAAAATACTTACTATCAATATAGTTACTATCATAAAAGCTATCTGTTACACAGAGAAACAGTCTCAAAAAACTAAAGTGGGGGAAAAAGAAACCTATCACTACTGGAAGAAAGCGAACATTCCGAAACATTTATCTAAACTTTTTATTTCAGACTAACCACATGCATTTGTTTGTGTGTTTCCTCTTCACTTTGTCAGTTTGACAGGAAGATAAGGGCCCAGATTTAGCTGTGCCTTAGACTGAACCAATCAATTACCCAATGTCCTTTTGAGGCTTTAATGACTTGGCTCTGACTTTGCACCCTCAGCAACAGTGACCTCAGTGATATTTTGTTTCCTAGTGACACTAAAATTTGATTGCATTCTGAGTGTGACCCAGTTTCTACATTTTAAAATTAGCATAATTTGTCTCTAATTACATTTAATAGTTACATTGTAATATCATATAATTGTGTACCTAAGTACAATTGAACATGCTTTACACACATTGAGCTGCACTTGTCTATCTATCTCCCCTACCTACCTACCTCTCAGTCTTCCTGCCTCCACCTCTGAAGTACTGGGATTCTAAGTGTCTACTACCACACCTGGCATAAATTTCTTGAAAAACATCTCTGGATTGGAAAGATTTCAGTTTTCCGAGTCTTATTTATCTAGTCACTTTACCTACCAACCCTTTTAACAAGGTTTGTTTGTTCTTGCCTAATTCTAGTACTGAGAAGGCTGAGGTAAGAAGGTCAAGAGTTTGAGGACAGCTTGGGCAAGCCCCTGAAACCAACAAATCACTTTGAAGAAGAAGAAGAAACTTTCCATTAGTGTATATATATTTGTTATTTTGATTTTATGATACCTTCACAAGTGTGTATATGTATGTACGTCTATATTTACACATGTGTTAAGACATCAAATTGTAGAGTTTTTTGTTATTTTATCAGTGTTGAATATTGAACCCAGGGTCTCATTCTAGGCAAGTATTGTATCACTAAGCTATTTCCCTACCCCTCTTTTTCCTTTTTTTTTTTTTCCCCATATAACTAGACACAGTTTCACTAAATTATCCTGGTTGACATTGAACTCACTTTGTAGCCCAAGCTGGCCTTGAACTTTCCATCTTCCAGCATCAGCCTATTGAATACCTGGGATTCAGAGTCTTCATTTTAAGGCTTAGTTAAATTTTATAGTGAAGAATATGCAGTTTATTGCATACCATTCATACATTAATAAAGCTGTATAAGGAGCTGGGTGTATTCCTCAGTTGAATGGAATGCTTACTTAGCATGCACAAAGCCCTGGTTCCGTCTCTAGCACTGCATTAAACTAGGAGTGGTGGTTTACGGCTATAATCCCAGCACTCAAGGTGGAGGCAGGAAGATCAGAGTCCAATGTCATCCTTAGTAGACTATATGAAACCCTATGTAGGAAAAAATGCTTTAATGCTGTATGAGTTTAATAAAGCTTAATAGAAATAGATCACTTTGGTGATAGGTTAGGACAGCGCAGGGATGGAACATTTATTCTTTTCTCATCTTTGTTTCCTGTACAGGTCTCTAAACTTGTAAATGAGGTTTATCACATGTATAATCGGCATCAGTATCCTTGTGTTGTTCTCAACATTTCTGTTGATTCAGGTAAGTTCCACTTAGGTTTCAGTAAAAATTTTGAACTATTCCCAAAAGAATAAAATGAAATTAAAAAGCTCTGATATGACTGAATAGAAAACAACTAATAATCATGTAATTTTACTTTTTATACTGACCATTCTCTGCATTCTATTTGAAACAGTGTTCAGTGTATTATTAGGAAATGGAACTTTAAACTTGAACAAAGGGAAAAAGTATAAATATACTTACAGGTTCTCCTTGATTTCAAAAATTTAATTTCACATGTATTTTTCTTTTTATTGTCAAATTCTGACTTACTTAGATTCCATTTTCTAGATACTTTTATATATGTATAAGCCTTTCTTAAAATAGACATTTATCAGGCTGAAGAAATGGCTCATTGGTTAAGAGCTCTTCCAGAGGTCCTGAGTCCAATTCCCAGCAACCACATGGTGGCTCACAACCACCTGTAATGAGATCTGGTGCCCTCTTCTGGCATACATAATAAATAAATAAAATCTTTATAAAAAATAGACCATTTATCTTTATTTGTAAATGTGAACGTTTTATTTTCCGTGTCATTAAAAAGTACTTAAGAAAATTACATAATTTCGGGGATTGGAGAAATGGCTCAGTGGGTAAGAGCCGTTGCTGCTCTTGCAGAGCACTGGAGATTGGTTCCAGCACTGACATCTTAGTTGCCTGTAACTCTGGCTGCAAGAAATCCAGCACCCTCTTCTGTCCCTATGAGTATCTGTATACACATACACATACAGGTACCTGTTAGGTCTTGATGGAGCTAGAGTTACAGGTAGTTTTGAGCCATGTGATGTGGGTTCTGGGAATCAAAATTCTGCAAGAGTAATATGTGCTCTTAACCTCTAAGCCATCCATCTCTTCTACTTGAGGTAGTCTCTCTTGTTTCTGCTGCTGCATGCACTTCATACTCCAGGATAGCTGTCCCATAATCCTCTGCTATATAGCAGATTCAAGGTCAGTCCAGGCTACATGAAGCACTGTCTAAACATGATGATGATGTTGAAATAATAATAAAATTTCTAAAAATAAAGATAAAACTATTATTTTCCTCATTTGTTTAAAAAGTTAACTTTATAGACTGGGGAGATAGCTCAGTAGGTGAAGTGCTTAATGCACAAGTATGAGGACCATAGTTCAGCCCCCCAGCACACAACTAAAAAGCTGAATACAGCAGTGCACGCTTGTAATCCCAGTGCTGGAAGCGTAGCTGGGACTTATCTCCCAACTAATGTAGCCAAACTGGTGAGCTCCAGGTTCACTGACATTCCCTATCTTGAAAATAAGGTGGAGAAGCAATTGATGTCAACCTCTGACCTCCATACACACACATGTATTTCCAGCCACACAGTTGTACACACACATACACATATGTATATACCCCAAAAAAAGTATTTTATAATTTATGAGTACTGGTCTGGACACCATTATTTTAATCTTGATTGGTTTTAATTAATAGTACAAATGAATGAAATAGTTAACACTTAAAATCATATTGCTATAGGTGAGCTTAAACATGTATATTATTCTTTGCCTTAGAATGTGTTGATATTAATGTGACTCCAGATAAAAGGCAAATTTTACTACAGGAGGAGAAGCTTTTGCTGGCAATTTTAAAGACCTCCTTGATAGGAATGTTTGATAGTGATGCAAACAAACTTAATGTCAACCAGCAGCCACTGTTGGATATTGAAGGTAAGAAAAACACAGTGATGTAACCTTCTAAAAGTTTTAGTCATTGTGATACTGTTTTCCTTGCGGTGACTTTTGACATGATAAGAGAAAAATGTCACAAGAGAAAGTATACTAGAGGCTGTGAATAGTGGTGCACAACTTTAATCCCAGCACTCAGGAGGGAGAGACAGATATCTGTGGGTTCAAGGCCAAACTGGTGTACATAGAAAATTCCATGACAACCAGAGAGACATTGTGAGACCCTGTCTTTAAAAAAAAGTCTCAAGGTGAAAGGTGAGGAGAGTCACTTGAGATTGTCCTGACCTCCACACTCATAGCATCTGCCCACTCACACTATAACATAAGCATTTTTAAAAAAAGTTTATGAAGGCCAGATGTAGTGACACATGCCCGTAATCCCAGCATTTGTGAAAATGAGGCAGGAAGATCTTCTGCAGTTGACGGCAAGCCTGGTCTACATAGTGAGTTCCATCCTAGCTATGACTCCATGATGAGAGAGAGGAGGAGAGACAGAAACAGACTGAGACTGGGAGAGATGGAGTCTTTCAGTCCGTACTATTTTGTGATTATTTTATAGGGTCCATCAAAGTCATATGTGGCCATTCACTCATTCATTCATTCCATAGCTATACAATATTCCACTCAAGTCAAATATCAGCAATTATTGTGTATGCATATGTGGGTATTCAAGTTGGTTCCATTGTGGGGCTACAATAAAGAACTGTCATGAGCACCCTCAGACATCTTCCAGGAAACATGAGTATTTCTTGTTGGGTTTTATTGTTGTTTTTTTTAGATTTTAAAAGAGTGTCTGTGTGCATGTGTGTGTCTGCTATGCTTGTGCATATACTCAGAGTCCAGAAGAGTCTTCAGAGCTGGAGTTACAGATGGTTGTGGGCTGCCCTCACAGGTGCAGGTTGGGGTGGGGGGGACACAACACACTCTGTTCAGATCCTCTAGAAAAGCCTCAGTGCAAGGTGATAGGCATGCAGCATCATGCTCAGCATGGGTAGGCATTCCTGATGGAGGAGCAGATGGGCACATTTAGGCTTCGTTATATTCCCTTTAAGATGGGTTCTGGTCAGAGTTGCTATATTTTATTTATAGTTTGGCCTCTTCTTTTGTGAAGTGCCTGTTCATCTAAAAATAATTCTCTTGTTCGCCTTCAGTACCCTCAATCATACTCTTCTTTGTTCCTTTCTGCTTAGGTAACTTAGTAAAGATGCATGCCACAGAAATAGAAAAGCCTATATCAGGAAAGCAAGACAGTTCTCCTTCATTGAAGACCACAGCAGATAAGAAAAGAGTAGCATCCATTTCCAGGCTGAGAGAGGCCTTTTCTCTTCATCCTATCACAGAGATCAAGTCTTGGGCCCCAGAGACCCCTGAACTGAGACAGAATTATCCAAGTCAGAAAAGGGGTGTACCACCTTCCTGTGTTTCAAATCTCACCTCTTATAGTGGTCTGCTTGACTCCCAAGACAAAGTGGTGAGTCCCAAGGAAAGCCCCGATGACTGTATGAACAGAGTGGAAACAGAAAAAGACTCAGGGTTCAGCAGCACCTCAGCCACCTCTGAGGAAGGGTTCAACACCCCAGAAGTTGCCAGTAGCTTCAGCAGTGACTATGCAGTGAGTTCTCCAGAAGACAGATCTTCACAGGAGAACATGAACTGTGGTAATCAGTTACTTGGAATGGACCACCATCTTTCAGGTACAGGACACCATTTGAAGCAAGAAGATTGCAGATATAAATGTACAGCTTTACCTCCACAAACTCCTCTCTCTTCCTCAAACACTAAACGTGTCAAGATAGAAGAAAGGCCTTCAAATACTTACATTCCTCCAAGGTTGCTTGATAGTCAGAACACCTCAGCAGCTCAGGTTGATGTAGCTGTGAAAATCCATAAGAAAATAGTACACCTTGACTTTTCTATGAGTTCTTTAGCCAAACGGATGAAAGAGTTACAGCACCAAAAGCAGCGGAATGACAGTGAGCAGAGTTACAGGAAGTTTAGGGCCAAGATTTGCCCTGGAGAAAATCAAGCGGCAGAAGATGAACTCAGGAAAGAGATTAGGTACTGTTTGTTCTTAATGGTATTTTGGTCAGGCTTGTGATTGGTTATTTTGACTAAGCCAGAGGCTGACTTTGTAGAGATTCAGTGTTGGATCCTCTGGGTATCTTGGATTCTTTGATCCTTGCACTGTGTAGATGATATCCTTCTTTCTGGCATAGGACTTCATTGTGGCCCTCCCTCAGCACCAGGATCTGCCCTATGGCTTGAGATTCCTGTATGGACAGACCAACACACAAGCTTTTCCACAATCACAGGCTCCCTGATAAACTGGCCAGTGTTTCTTTGTCCTCTCCCTCCCTCCCTCCTCTGCAATTCTGATATTGAATTTGGCGTTGATTTTGACCCCACAGATTGTTCATTTGCTTTTTGATCCCTTTGGCAAAGATATTTCTATTCATTAACTTCTCCTTGCCTTTCACATATTTATTGTCAGTTTTCCTGGTTTTGTTTGTTTTGTTTTTGTTTTTTGAGGCTGGGACTCATACAATCCAGGCTGGTCTGAAATTCACTGTGTAGCTAAAGATGACCTTGAACTACTGATCATCTTGCCTTTGCCTCCTAACTGCTGGGTTTACAAGTATGTGCTGCAAATTTTCTGTCTTGCTTTGTGTGTGTGTGTTTGAAACAGGATTTCCGCATGTAGCCAAAAACAACTTTGAATTTAGTCTTTCTTTAAATCTCCTTAGTGCTGGGATTGCAGATATGCACCACCATGCCTGACTCCAGATTCTTTGTAGAAAGAGAGCTACCCAAGATTCTGCTAGCCCAGGCCATTAAATGAGTACATATTTTTCCTCCAAATCATCATCCTAGGAATCAGACCAGATTGAGATGGTTCCCCAGGGCATCTTGCTAGTCACCTGTTAATCAACTGTTGGCTCCTCATCACTATGTTTACTGTGCTTTGCCCTGAAAGTTAGATCATATGAGCATTTCTCCTGGGTTTTGTTGCTGCCTTTTGTGTATTTTGAGATTAGAAACAATTAAGTGTCTTTCAAGAGAATTTATTAGATGAACTCTAGTGTGTAGTATGTACTGAATTCCAGAACAGTCATTAAGAACCAAGGACCAGCCCCTGGAATGTTAAAACAGGACTGTGAAGTTGAAGTCAGGATGCATAACAGAAAGTAGCAGTAGATCTACAGTTGGATGTTGTTGGCATGCACCTATAGTCCCAGCTATTTGGCAGGCTAAGAAGGAGTTCAAAAGCCTAGACAACATACTAAGAACCATCTCGGAAAAAAAATTGTGGAAACATATGATGTGTTAAGTGATGAAAGAGTGAAATGAAGATACATAGTTCTATTTTCATTTTTAAAATGAAATGTATGTATGAGCAAAAGTATAGAAGCACACATGTCAAATTATTGATAATAGTCACTAAGGCCATCTCTGGAGCACTGAATGTATGGATAATTGATGCTATGTTTATAAAGTACAATTACTAACGTTTCTATTTTTTACTTTTGTAGTGCTTTGTTTTTTTTTGTTTAATTAAATTGGTTTTGTTTTACAATGAGAAATAATCTTCAACAATGTTTTATAACTTAATGTTTTGTATTACAGTAAGTCGATGTTTGCCGAGATGGAGATCTTGGGTCAGTTTAACCTGGGATTTATAATAACCAAACTGAAGGAGGACCTCTTCTTGGTGGACCAGCATGCTGCGGATGAGAAGTACAATTTTGAGATGCTGCAGCAGCACACTGTGCTCCAAGTGCAGAGGCTTATCACGTAAGTTCACACAGACTTCGGGATTTCCAGTGCTGTTTCTCACATTGCTTCCACCATTTGAGATGAAGTAGCGTCTACCAGTATCTGTATGCATATTTATATAAATGTGGGGTTTTGTGCTATAATAATCTGTGTAGCACATTTTTATACTTTTTACATAATAATAGTCATAACTCCCATTTATTGAATATCTATTACATAGTAAACTGTATTGAAGCAATTTATTCATTTAATCCAAGTAAACATACAAGGTAGTTGCTGTTGTCACCGCCATCTCACAATAAAAAAATTGCACACACCCAGAGATGTTAATCAACTTGCCTGAGGTCTCACACCTAATATGTTCTTTATAGGTATCAGTTCATTTTAGAAATGGTGTTCACTGGATGGCCCGAAAATCCAGTTTGTGAAGGGCAACTGTGAATATATTAGGCCTGGTATAAAGTGGTGCACTTAGGAAGCCTTGTATGTATGAGCTTTTTAGTTTGTTTGTTTGTTTGTTTGAGACCAAGATCTCACTATGTAGCCTTGACTAGCCTCAAATTCACAGAAATCTGCCTGCCTCTGCCTCCTGAGTGCTGGGATTGAAGGTTTGTGTGCCATGTCTGGTCCATGTGGGCCTTTTAAAGGGATATTTATAAACCAGCCACAATAGTGCTATTTCACTTTCCTTTCTGCTGGTAAATGTTTGCCTTGGTATATAGTTTGCGTCTCCTATTTTCCAGGCCCCAGACTCTGAACTTAACTGCTGTCAATGAAGCTGTGCTGATAGAAAATCTGGAAATCTTCAGAAAGAATGGCTTTGATTTTGTCATTGATGAGGATGGTGAGTTAACCATTGGGACTGTATGGTTGCGTAGTTTAGGCTTAGAAGCATCTGTGCTTGCCCTGACTTTGGGTATGTGGGTCTTCATTATAAGTAATCATGAACTAAAATGCTTTGCTCCATAATGGATTTTCCTCATTTTTTTTTCCTTTTAGCTCCAGTCACTGAAAGGGCCAAATTGATTTCCTTGCCTACTAGTAAAAACTGGACATTTGGACCCCAAGATATAGATGAACTGATCTTTATGCTTAGTGACAGCCCTGGGGTCATGTGCCGGCCCTCAAGAGTCAGGCAGATGTTTGCTTCCCGAGCTTGTCGGAAGTCTGTAAGTAAAATAAGCTCCACTCCTGGGGTACAGAGGGTCCAAGGGAGTTCTCAGTTCTACTCTTGGTTTGGTTATATTGCTAAGCACTTTGATGATGGTTGCCAAATGTAGAGAGCCACATTGTCTGTTGGTATAATATGACAGCCAGGTCTGCATGGATCAGGCTTGCTGTTCATTATCTGCAGATGCTACCCAGTGTTTTATCTTAGTTTTCGTAAGCCTAGCAGTTAGCTTAGTATGTACCTGCTTCATCCTGAGCCTTATGGGTAATGACAACCTGAACTTAGAAAGATTTTCTGCCTCCAGACTGAGACAACACCATCAAAACTCCAGTAGAGCCATTTTGTCTCAAGTATTCCATAGGGGCTGTTTACTGTTCCTGATGCTGTGTCCTATGCCACTCAGATTTGTATGGGAAATTGTAAAGGGAAGTCCAGGAAATGGTAGTAATGGCTGGGTATTAACCCAGTAAACAACCCTGGCCACATTCCTGTATTATCCAGCAATTCCTTACGCCCCTGTAGTGAAACCTTTCCTGTTCCAAGTATGGGAACATAGAAGTGAGATGGGTGAGAGAAATAGACACAAACAAGTAAATGACACCTTAGATGCCAGTAAGTACAGAAATTCAAACAGTATGTGCCCACAGAAAAATGTGGTGAACAAGGAGAGGTAAAGCCTCCATGTGAAAGGATGCTCTTGATAGAAAAATGGTAATCATGCAAACCAGAGGCTGCCTCTGCCTAAAGAAAGAGAGCAGAGCAGCACCCAGAGGACAGCCCATAGTATTACTGCTTGTAGTGAGAGTAAGTGCCGAATTCAAGAGATGCCACTCCTGAAAGGGCTGGAGGTGGTGTGCCAGTGTGGCAGAGAAGATGGTTACGTACTAGGATGTTATCTTACTTACTGTTCTATTGCTGTAATGAGACACCATGTCCAAGGCAACTTATAAGAGAAAGCATTTAATTGGGGGCTTGTTTACAGTTTGAGAGGATGAGTCCATGATCATCATGGTGGGAAACACGGCACTGGAACAGTAGCTAACCTCAAAGCCCACTTCAGGAACACACCTCCTCCAACAAAACCACACCTCCTAATCCTTCCTGAACACCGACTGGGAGCCAGACGTTCAAATATATGAGCCTAAAAGAGCCATTCTCATTCAAACCACCACAGATATACTGGCATGTTAAGCTTTTACTTAGATCAAGGACAAGCTGGAAACAGCGAGTGATCTGACAGACTTTTAAAACTATTGCTCTGGCATGTGACTCAAATCTATAGTCCCTGCACTCAGGAGACAGAGGCAAGAGGGTCATTGCATAGGCTGGCCTGGTCTATAGTGAGTTCCAGGCCAGCCAGGGTTAATCATAGGGAGACCCTGTCTTCAAGGGGGAAAAAAAATTAGGGATTGGGATGATGGCTCTGCAGGTAAAGTGCCTTCTATACAAGCATGAGGGCCTGAACACAGATTCCCAGCACTCACATTAAAAAGCAAGTTGTGATGCATATTTGCAATCCCTGCTCTAGGTAAGTGGAGACACCTGTGAATCCCATAGGCTCACTGGCTGGCCAGTCTAGCCAAAATAATGAGATACAGTTCAATGAGAGAATCCAGTCTCAAAAACTAAGGTAGACTGTGGTAGACATCAGTGTCAACTTTTGGCCTCCATGCACTCAGGCATAAGCAAGTGTGCATGTGCACATGTACACGCTTATATGCTTATACACATACACACACACACACAAATGCATGTATGCATACATGCACACCAAAAAATAAAGTGAATAATAAAATTCCTTGCTCCCTGTTGAGTGGAGAGGGGCACTCCAGATCATTCTAGTTGCCAGGGTGAGAGGAGAGAAATGGAGAGAAAATGGGTAAAGATCCACTTCTTGAGACGTTGTACCACCAAAGCCTGAACCATGAAGGCTGGAAGCTCAACACAAGTGTGGAGCGCTGAGCTGTCAGAAGACAGGACTCTGGGAGAGTTCTTCAGGAAATGTTTTGAGCTGTCAGAAGACAGGACTCTGGGAAGGTTCTTCAGGAAATGTTTTGAGCTGTCAGAAGACAGGACTCTGGGAGGGTTCTTCAGGAAATGTTTTGAGCGGTGGTCTCATTTTAGAGAACCCTGTGTGTCTGAAGACAGTCTTAACAAAGTCCAGTCAAACTCTCCATTGTTGTCTTGTACTCAGGTAATGATTGGAACCGCTCTCAATACAAGTGAGATGAAGAAACTCATCACCCACATGGGTGAGATGGACCACCCCTGGAACTGCCCCCATGGAAGGCCAACCATGAGGCACATTGCAAATCTGGATGTCATTTCTCAGAACTGATACTTAACTGCTTGTAGGATAGAGTTTATTGCAGATTATTCTGTTTTGGAAAGACAGGATTTTCAGTAGCCTGTTTATCATTGCTCAGAAATTAACATCCTATTTTAATGTATCAGATTCACTTAAAAACAGTGTTAAGCCAGGCATAGTGGCATTATGTGCCTCTAGCCCAGCTACTTAGGAGACCCAGGTGGGAGGCTTAGTTGAGGCCAGGAGTTTGAGGCCACCCTGAGCTACATTAATGAGACTCCATTCTAAAAAGGAAAAAAAAATTAAGCCTTTTCACTTTGTCTGCAATTATTGTTATTGAAATTTGAGTGTGGGGGAGTGCGCGGGGGTGCAAAGATATGTCTTAGAAAAACAAGGAGAGCCCTTTGGAAGTTAGTAATCTTCCCTCTAGCTGCGGATATTGTAGTCTGAAGCTTTCAGCCCTCAAAGACAGTTGAATTCATGTTGTTTACTTTGTTCTCTCCTACCCCACATGCCCTGTGTTTTGAGACAGCTTCATGTAACTCAGGCTTGCCTTGAACTTGTTTTGTAGCTAAGGCTGGCCTGCACCTCCCAAGTGCTACAATTACAAGTGTGTATCATACACCCAAATTAAAAATTATGGTCTTTTGAAATTAGTAGCTCTCAACCCTAACTCATTAAATGAAAAAGCAAAGGATTCTTCGCCTGGTTGGAAAGAAACTACTAAATAGGACTGGAGCTACTTTTGGGGGTGGGAATGGGAAGGAATGAAACAGGGTCTCTCTATGTAGCCCTGACTGATGTGGAACTTGCTATATAGACCAGGCTGGCCTTGAACTCACAGAGCTCCTGTCTCTGCCTACTGAGTGCTGGGATTAAAAGCATGTGCCACCACACCTGACTGGGGTCACTATTTTTAAATGTTCCTCAGTGCAATGTGAGTGAAAAACAGGGGCTGAGGCAGGGAGTGAAAGAAGAAAATTGAGTTTTCTATAGCTCAGTGCTGTAATTTGGTTTCCTTGGGGTATGAACTATGGGTTTTTGTTTGTTTCCATGGAATCTTGTCCATTTGAGCTATGTCAAAAATGGAAATAAAAATGCCTCCTGTAGAGTGTAGGTGGTGGTTAGGGTACAGTGATGACAGGTGTGGGCAGTTCCCCATTCAGCATCCTTTGTGCTCTGGGCCTCCCAGAAAAGAGATCTGCCGTGGTTCAGGTGTAATGAGATGGTGGAGGCATAGCTCTTTCCATTCATTATGTCAAAGTCTGTGTTAATATTGGGCAAGGTAGCACAGACCTGTAAGTCCCAGCACAGCAGAGGCAGGCTGATCTCTGAGTTCAAGGCCAACCTGGGCTGATACATACAGTTCCAGGCCAGACAGAACTAGGTCTCAAACTGCTGCAGGTCTACAGGGTCTCATTTAATATTCACAGGAACAGTGCAAGTTGGGAGTCGTAGGAGGTACAGTAATGACCACTCAAAAGTGTCTGCTTCTGATCACCAGAACCTTGACTCACCTCATACATGACAAGGGACTCCAGGTGGGATTGAAGATACTAGTGATGGGGGGATTGTACTGTGCAGTCTTTGTCACATAAGTTCTTCAAAGTGGAGCACAAGTGTACAGACTCTCGTTGGAAGATTGTTCTTCAAACCATTGTTTGGTTTAAGGCCATGGTGGAAAACAAAAGCCTGCATTATAATGTTTTATCATGAGGAAATCTGTTAAGAGGGGCCACACACTTTGCAATTAGATCTGGAAAAATTCATGCCAAGTACATCCAGATGAAGTCCTCAGCTCCTCTCTTGAGAATAAGCATGTGAAACTGAATGCTCTACAGTTTTGTGTTAGTATCATGGCCCCTTTAAGAGCACAGGAGGCTAGGCTTGTGGCAGTTGCTTGGAAACCACCAAGCTCTCAGGAGCCCCGAAGCCCTCATTTGGATTTGCAGGCCAGGCCAGAGCAAGTGGGTAAGCACCCTAAGGTGGTCTTGTGTGCACAGCAACAACTTAAAACCTGAGCCAGTTCCTTCCTTAGCCTCCCAAGACTGGAGCCCATGCCAGATTGATGAGGGGAATCCTGCAGCTGGGTGGAGTAGTGCTGGGACTTGTGCCCAGAGTAGAGGCAGGTTTGCAGTTTGCTTGTGCAATAATATAGTGACTTCATAAGATTGAGGTAGAGACATTACTTTAAGAAACAAGTTAGTTTTATCTGTAGTTTGAATTTCACTGGTAGAGGGCCAAAAAAAAAAAAAAGGAGTAAATGCTTGTTCAAGTTGAGAGTAGACACAGCTGATATATTCATCAGGCCCTTGGACCAAGAGGAGGTTGGGGTGTTGGAGACGGAGAAGCTCTGAGGTGGAATTGGGCATGCCTAGCAGAGGTAGGTATGAAGTACCTCTCTATCTGCCCTCGGGGTGCACGTGCCTAGACCAGACTTCTTTGCACTACAGAATTTCTTTATGTCCTGCTTGCCTAATAATGTAGGACACAATGAGATCGGTATCAGAGTGGCATGAAAAACGTGGCTTTGGAACTCTGCTCTCAGCTCTGCAGCCCATCCTTTCTCTTCTGACCCCTGTGGTAATGAGAGCCACTTAATCATGAAGCTGTACTACACTTGAACATTTTCCACTCAACCCCTTTTTGCCCAAGAAAATTTTGCATGACCCATGCCTTAGTATATAAAATAAAATAGGTGTGCACAACAAATATTTACTGATAGTAAGTAATAGTTAAATTTATTTTAAAAGTTTTTGGGATACATATAAAATTACCATTTATTAAATAAAACATTTGTATACTAATGTGCTTATTTATTTTTTAAGATTTCTTTATGTGTGTGTATATATACATACTCATGAAGGCCAGCCAGAAGATGGTGTTGGGTTCCCTATAGCTGAAGTTAGAGTGGTTGTGAGCCATCCAATATTAATGCTGGGACCTGAACTCAGATCCTCGAAAAAGCAAGTGCTGCTCAACCCCAAAGCTTTATTTTCCCCCATTTTATTTAATTAATGGGGGGGGTTGTGACTAGTTGTCACTTGCACATATGGAGGTCAGAGAACAGCTTACAGAAAGTGATTCTCTTTGATCATGTGGATTCTAGGAGGTGAACTCAGGCCATCAGGCTTGATGGCAAGTACCTTAACCTATGAAGTCATCTTGCTAACCTGCTTGTTTATATAAAATTAAGTCTTGGAACTTTAGAGATGGTTCAGAAGTTGAGTGTCTGCTACTTGATCATGATGACTATCTCACACACACAAAATTAATAATTTTAAGCATTCTAACACAATTCATACAAAGATACACACTGAGAAATGACAGTAGGAAATTACTGTCTTTTTCTGTAATTAAATCATGGTTCTATAAAAGTAGGAAACTATAGTAAAAGCCCTGCAATTCATATAATGTATAGTCTTAAATCTGAGTTAAGTGTTTCAAGTAGCATTAGCTTTGCATGGAATGATGGCATGCACAGTACAAAGGGCCCATGTTGAGTGTTAAGAACCAAGATGGAGCTGGAGCAAAGGTTCAATGGTCAAGAGTGCATATTGCTCTTCCAGAGGACGTGAGTTCACTTCCCAGCACCCATGTCAAGTGGCTTATAGTCACCTGTATCTCCAGACTCAGAGAATCCTCTTCTGAGGGCACTTGCACTCACATGCACACCCCACACACACACGTATAAACATAATTTTAAAACAAAAACAAAAATTCATAAAAAGCAAAAAACTGGCCAGGCATTGGTGGCACACGCTTTTAATTCCAGCACTTGGGAGGCAGAGGCAGGTGGATCTCTGTGAGTTTGAGGCCAGCCTGGTCAACAGAGTGAGTGCCAGGATAGGCTACAAAACTACACAGAGAAAACCTGTCTTGAAAAAAAAAAAAAAAAAACAAGGCAAAGAACCAAGACACTGAAGTTGTCTGATGCAACCCAGGAGAGCTCTGCCAGAAATGTGTTGGTTTCATTATGAGTTTGATTTTGAATTAATTTTTGGTTATGCATTCAGAAACCTTTTCCTGTGTCAGAGTGTCATGAGCAGAGTTCAATTCCCAGCATCCAGATGACAGCCCACAGCTGTCTTTAACTCTAATTCAAAGGAATCTGATGCCTCTTCTGGCCTCCCCTGGGCACTGCATGCATGTGTTGCATCGACATACATGCAGGCAAAACACCCATAAACACAAAAATAATAAAATATTCAAAAATAGTTTTTAATATTTGTTAATGCAGACACCATGACATTCACCTGTGGTCCTAGTGCTTAAGAATAAATACAGGAGGATCCCTGGGGCTCTCTGACTAGTTAGTTTTACATAATTGGTGGCCTCAAAGTTCAGTGAGAAGCCCTGCTCTTCCTAGAGGTCCTGAGCTCAATTCCCAGCAGCCATATGGTGGGTCAACAATCTGTAGTGAAATCTAGTGCCCTTTTCTATCATGCAGGAATACATGCAGACAGAACACTGTATTCATAATAAATAAAATTTTTTTTCTTTTTTTTGGTTTTTACGAGACAGGGTTTCTCTGTATTGTTTTGGAGGCTATCGGTCCAGCCCGGCCTCGAACTCACAGAGATCCACCTGCCTCTGCCTCCCGAGTGCTGGGATTAAAGGCGTGCGCCACCACCGCCCGGCTCCATAATAAATAAATCTTAAAAAAAAAAAAAGACTGTTAAAAAAAATAAGATGGAGCCAGATAAAGGAATACCCAGTGCCAAACTTAGGCCTCCACTTGTTGATATTGTAGTGCTCTAGATGGCAGCCAATGATTTCACACTCAAATTCTTGAAGTGTCAATCATGCTGTCAATTGTTCTGAATTGCATACTTAAGGAATTTTTCTGTGTCATCCCAACACAGGTACTACTATTTCTATTTGATATCTGAGGCAGAAAGCAGTTTGCTTAAGGAAACAATACTGTTAACACACAGGAGCCTTTATGTTCTTATGAACTTGATGCCTTTTTAACTTGTATCTTTATTATTATTGTGTGTGATGTATGTGTTATTTGTGTGTGTGTGTGTGTGTGTGTGTGTGTGTTTGCAACTGCCATGGTGCACTTAATGGAGGTCAGAGGACAACTTGCAGGAGTCTGTTCTCTCCTTCCACCATGCAGGTTCAAAAGATTGAACCCAAATTGTCAGGCTTGTAGCAAGTACCTTTGTCTAAAGAGTCATCTCTTCCACCCCAACCTTATTTTCATTTATTTATTTATTTTTTGGTTTTGGTTTTTTGAGAGAGGGTTTCTCTGTGTAACAGCTCTGGTTGTCCTGGAACTCGCTCTGTAGACCAGGCTGGCCTCAAACTCACAGAGATCTGCCTTTCTCTGCTGGGAATAAAGGTATGTACCACCACCATGTGGCTCAACCTTAATTTTTTAGACGAGGTCTGTCACTGAACCTGGAGCTCACTGAGTGAACCAAACTGGTGAGTGAGCTGTAGGAATTCTCCTGTCTCCACCTCCCCACTGCTGACATTACAGATGCATGCCACCACATCAGCTTTTTACATGGGTGATGGGGATCTGAACTCAGGTCTTCATGCCTTTGAGGCAAACACTTTACCAACTAAGGATTACTATTCCTAATTAACCAAAACACTGCTTGAGAAGACATAATGTTACATTGGCTGGCAAAAATGGCTCAATGCGTAAAGATGCTTGCTGCCAAGCCAGACAACCTAAGTTTGATCCCCAGAACACACAAGACAGGAGAGAACCACCTGCAGAAAATTGTCATTTAACTTCCACATATATGCAGTGGCACACATGTACCCCTATGCATGCCCATACACACAAAATTAATAGATAAACATGAATAAAATAGTAAATGAAATAATGGTTCTAATATTAAAGATTTTTAAAACTGCAATATTGAAATTGAATTACTTACATAAACTGATGATACTTGTTGTTAAAGGTTTAGTAGAACTTTTTTTATTTTTTGAACATTTTTTTAACAATTGAAACAACCAAATATTTAGAGACATAACTTTTGTTTTTCAGGTAAAACCCGTCAATGCTTTGAAACAAAACTGCATTGACTAACTCTATACCTAAGGTAAACTCTACCTCTTCCGAAGGCCATGGTGAAAGAAAAGAAAAAAGCAGACAAGAAAGGGGATAAGTCTGCTCGATCTCCCTCCTCTATTTCTGATTACCCAGAGTCTTCCAAACAAGATGGCAATGCCGGGAAACAGGAAGTACCCACCAGTGTTGTCCCAGTATTGGAAACACCACTCAAGCAATCGGCACCCAAACGAGACTCTGCAAATATGCATCAGAATGCAGATGAAACCCAGTATGAAGAGCCCATCCTGACCAAACTCATCGTAGAAAGGTAACTTTCCCGGGCATGACAGGGCCAGACTATAAACCAAATGTCACATGAAAGTATGTTTTGATGGGGGCATGTAAATCCTCCGTGGTTTTTGTTGTTGTTATGTTTTGTTTTTGTTTGTTGGAGACAGGGTTTCTCTCTGTAGTCTTGGCCATCCTGGAACTCTCTGTAGATCAGGTTGGTCTTGAACTCAGAGATTCACCTGCTTCTGCCTTCTGAGTGCTGGGATTAAAAATGTGAGACACTACCACTACCACCTGGCTCATGCAGTTTTATGATTCTGCAGTTCCCTACCTCCAAAAACACTTTTGGGTGTAAGTGTGGAACTCACCGATTTGGTTGGATGATCTGGCCAGCAAGTTCCAGGGATCTTCTTGTCTCTGTCTCCCCAGTGCTGGAATGCTAGAATGCTGGAATTACTAAGGTGTACCACAATGCCTAGCTTTCCCTCCCTTCTTTCCCTCTCTCCCTCCCTTCCTTTCTTTCTTTTTTCTTTTTTTTAATGTGGGTATTCAGCTCTAAACTAAGTCATCATGTTTGTATAGCACACACTTTATTAACTGAGTCATTTTCCCAGCTTAAAAAAAACTTTAGAAACAGTTTTTAAAGATTTATTTACTTTTAATTTTATGTGTATGAGTGTTTGCCTGTGCATATGTCTGTGCACCACATGTGTGTCTAGTACCCAGCGAAGCCAGAAGAGGGCATCAGATCCCCTAGAACTGGAGTTACAGGTGGTTGAAAGCACCATTTGGGTGGTAGGAATCAAACCCAAGTTCTCTGGAAGAGCAAAAGTTCTCTTAACTACTGATCCATTACTCCAACCCTTCAAGAATATTTTTATCATGGTAAAGCATACGTAAAATTTGCTAATTTGACCATTTAAAATGTGTAATTCAAAATTCAAACAAAACTTAAAAATAGAATGTATAATTCAAGGACTAGCAAGATGGCCCAGTGGTTAAATTGTTGGCCATACAAACATAAGGACCAAAGTTCATATCCCCAGAAACTTAGGTGAATGCTGGGTGAGCATGGTGGTTCACCAGTCTGCAATTCCAGCTTTGGAAGACAGAGACAGGGAATCCATCAGTCTGCAATTCCAGCTTTGGAAGACAGAGACTGGGAATCCTCTGAACAAACTGGCTAGAAAGACTAGTCATATTGGCAAGCTCTGGGTTTGATCTAGATACCTTGCCTCAAAAATGCGTGTGGTAGAAAAAGCAGTCAAGGATGATTCCAGATCACTTGCATGTGAACACATAAACCACACCTCCACACAAACACACAGAGAGATTTAAAAAAATAGAAATAAATAAAATGTGTAGTTCAGGTTATTAAATGCATTCTCAGTATTTTACAGCTGTCATAGAGCTCTGTTTCCAGAATGCCCTGTCCCTCTTCCCAGATAGAAATTCTGTACCTGCTAAGCTCTCTGTACCACACTAACGGGCACATGCCCCTGATATCCTATACACTTTAACCCCCCATCACACCCACACCACTCATGAGTTTGAACTTTATTTCTTTGTAGCTATGAAGGGGAGAAAGTCCGGGGACTGTATGAGGGAGAAGGCTTCGCTGTCTTTCAAGGTGGAAACACCTATCATGTAAGTCATAATTATTGGACCCAGGAGGACTGGGGGAAAGGGTGGGCTGAAAAGCTTGCAAGCCTTGAATTATTTCCACTAATTCCTCTAAAACCATTAGAGCTGGGCGGTGGTGGCACACGCCTTTAATCCCAGCACTAGGGAGGCAGAGGCAAGCGGATCTCTGTGAGTTCAAGACCAGCCTGGTCTACAAGACCTAGTTCCAGGTCAGCCTCTAAGGCCACAAAGAAACCCTGTCTCGAAAAACAAAAACAAACAAAAAAATAACAACAACAACAAAAAAAAAACACCACTTACTTGAGGCAAAGTATGACTCAGTATAACTGGAGTACTTTAGTTCCTGATTTTTACCTATTGACAAGGCATAGATATGTCACTAAGTAAAAACAGTTATCCATATAGGCTCAATACCAAAGTTGGATGCTTAAGTTCCACACACAAAATGTTGTAGTGTTTGCATAGACCCTACACCTACCACTGGGACTAGAGAGATAGCTCAGCTGTTAAAAATATTTGTTGCTCTTGTAGGAGAGGACTGGTGTCCATAACTCCAGATCCAGGGGATATGATACCCTCTTCTGACCTCTATAAGCACTGCACTTGTGTTCAAGCATGTGCACAGGCACACACATGAGCACAAATAAAAAAAAAATCTTTAAAAAAAAATAGAGCACACGCTTGGGAGGCAGAGGCAGGCAGATCTCAGTGAGTTTGAGGCCAGCCTGGTCGACAAAGCAAGTTCCAGGACAGCCAGGAATATTACACAGAGAAATGCTGTCTTGAAAAAAAATAGAACTTACACACATCCTCCTATATACTTTGTTGTTGTTTGTTTGTTCTTGTGGTATTGCGTGGCCTTGAGTATTCTGTGCAAATGCCCTGCCACCAGTTCATACCCAGCTGCCCTCACATATTCATTGTCATATCTGTGCAACTTATAATAATGAATATAATGCAAATGCTATGCAAATAGTTGTTAGACTGTACATTTTAGGGAGAGATGATCTTTTTCAAAAAAGTACATGTCTAATACAGATGCAATTGTTGTAGTCCTAACTGTGTGTGTAGTAAATGTCAGTAACAATCTAACTTCTTCCCCTCAAATGTTTTCTATCTGTGTTTGGTTCTGTGTACAGTTTTAACACAGAGGCTTCTCTAGTTAGTTTTAATTGTCAACGTGACATAGCCTAGAGTCACCTGAGAAGGGAGTCTCGGTTGAAGCATCACCCAGATCAATGTGCCTATAGGCATGTATGTGGGAGTCTGTGTTAATCATTGATTGATATAGGAGGGACCAGTCCACTGTAGGTGGCGCTATTCCCTAGGCAGATGGTCCTGGCCTGTATAAGAAAGCTAGGTAAGTAAAAGCCAGCCAACAGCATTCCTTCATAGTTTCTGCTTTAAGTTCCTGCTTGAGTTACTGTTCCAACTCACTCAATGGTCTGTGAGCTGGAAGTATAAGCCAAATAAATCCTTTCTCTCTAAGTTGCTTTTGGTCAGAGTGTTTTATCACAATAGAGATTGAAACTCAAGCCAACTTCAATGAGCGGAGTCTCAGGCCTGGGGGATAGGGGTGCACAATGGTAGATCACTCGCCTAAAATGTGCAAAATACTAGATCCATTCCTGGCACTGCAAAAAAATAAAACCAAGGAACCAAAAAGAGCAAATCTTAGTTTCACTGTTGTTTTGCTATAAATATACTCAATTAGCATTGTTTCTTTCATTCTTTGAATAGATATATCCATATTTTATATATTAATCACAATGATAGATTTGTGTTGTTTTCACTTATAAAATTTTGTGAATTTACTATATGGTTTTCATCATTGTAGGATCCACACCAAAATACAAGATAAATTTTAAAATGTTTTGATGCATTGTAAAGCATATACAACATTTGTTATTTTAATCTTTTTGTTTGTTTGTTTTTTTACAAGACAGGGTTTCTCTGTATTGTTTTGGAGGCTGTCGGTCCAGCCTAGCCTCGAACTCACAGAAATCTGCCTGCCTCTGCCTCCTGGGTGCTGGGAATAAAGGCATGCGCCACCACTGCCCAACGTTATTTTAATCTTTTTAAGTGGACAGTCTAGTGGCCTTAAACATATTCACATTATTGTGCAGTCATCACCCTGACAGCCCAGAACTTTCTGATCATGCTAAACTGAAGCTTGGCACCCAGGAAACAGTAACTCCCTGGCTTACCTGACAGTTCACTATGATACTGCATAATGCTCAAAATTGCTAAATGCAACTGTTCCATAGTTATTGGACTTTTTAGGATCCTTTCGTCTTTTTACCTTTATTTGTAGGACACAATTAAGATACTCATTTGTTCATTTAGATTATCAGAAATATAATAATAGCAGAATAATTCTTAAAGATTTTTTAATCTCATGGATATGTATGTGTTCCATGTGTGAACAGATGCCCATGGAGGCCAGAAGAGGGCATTGGATCCCCTTGAGCCTAAGTTATATACATGTGCATACATATATAGATATGTATGCACCTGTCAGTACACAGTCATGTGCACATGCACAGCGATAATTTCCAGTAAGAGAAAACAAAGTATGACACTTACAAACATGATGTGTCTGATAGTTTTAATTGGATCTGCCTAGTGTAATTTGTAAAATATACATATATTTGTAATTTGTAATATATGTGTATATATTTGTAGCTTATATACATATGTATGGTTTGGGGTTCTTTATTATTATTTTAATTTTAAATAGCTTGTTTTACATGTCAATCCCAGTTCCCTCTCCCTCTCCTCCTCCTGCACTCCCCACCATCCCCCCCATCCTCCCACCCTATTGCCAATTCCTTCCACATAGGGGATATCTAGAGTCTGTCATTTCACTCAGGGTAGGGTCCAGGCACTCCCCTAAGAATCCAGGCTGAGAGAGCATCCCTCTTTGTGTTATGGACACACGATGTCTGTTAGTATTCAAGGGATAAACACTGATCCACTGCTCAGGACCCCATAGGTTGCCCAGGCCTCCTCACTGACTCTCACATTCAGGGGGTCTGGATCAGTCCCATGCTGGCCTCCCAGCTGTCAGTCTGGGGTCCAAGAGCTCTCGGTTTGGGGTTTTTTATTGTTGCTTGGCTTGGTTTCATTTTGCAATGTAGGGGACAGAACCCAGGGCCTTGAACATGCTAGTCAGGCAGTCTGCCACTGAGCTTCATCCTCAGCCCCAAATCCTGGAAGGTCAAAGTGCAAAACCAACAGTATTTAAATTCTTTTGGGCTGCAATTCAGATATTTTCCAGGAGCTTACATATAGGATGAGACTCTGGTGATCAGGTCTAAGCTTTAGGGAAGTTTTAAAATCCTCCTTGGGGGCCGGGCGTTGGTGGCACATGCCTTTAATCCCAGCACTTGGGAGGCAGAGGCAGGCGGATCTCTGTGAGTTCGAGACCAGCCTGGTCTACAGAGCTAGTTCCAGGACAGTCTCCAAAGCCACAGAGAAACCCTGTCTCGAAAAAACAAAAAATAAATAAATGAATAAATAAAATAAAATCCTCCTTGGGTCCTTTCTGGCTCGGGATAGTTCACTGTGTGGTGCATGCTCAGAGTAGGTGCCACACGGCTGCTGCTGTTGCTGTAATGTCTCCCAGGCAACTAACACATTCCTGTGGGTAAAGAGAAAGACAGAAGATTTCAGGCTATAACTGCAGATGCCCAACAACCACAGCTTCCATCTAAGGTCCACTGTTATTTCTTTCATAGGGTATGTTTTCAGAAGGACTGATGCATGGACAAGGGACTTACATTTGGGCTGACGGATTGAAATATGAGGTAAAGTATTATGAGAGTATTATGAGTTAGAGTTAATTGTAGCATTTAATGGTCAAGGAATTCACTTTTGAGAGAGAGACAGAGACACAGACAGAGACAGAGAGAGTCAGTCTGCCTGTTGCTATGTCCAATGATTTCAGGTACTCTCAAAAGGCCAGAAGAGGGTACTGGATCCTATGGAACTGGAGTCACATGCAATTGGGAGCTACTGATATGACTCTTGGAAGCCACACTTAGGTTCTCTACAAGAGCAATGCATGCTCTTAACTGTTGAACTATCTCTTTAGCTCTCTATATATTCTATTTTTATAAAAGTAAATTAGGTTAGGAATGTTGGTGCACACCTTTAATTCCAGCATTTGAAAGACAGGCAGAGCAGATGTCTGTGGGTTTGAGGCTAGCCTGGTGTGCATAGTGAGTTCTAGGACAGCCAGAAGTACATAGTGAAACCATCTCTCTCTCATAATTAAACCATAGCTATCTATGCAGATCTAACTATTTATACTGACTGCATGTATCCCATTATGGGGGGGTTTCACAAAGACCATCTGGGTTGCTGGGCTGAGGGGACGTGGATATTTTAAATCTGATTGTGAGAACAGATTTGCCCTACAAGAGACAGTGCCAGTTTCAGTTCCCACCCACAAAGCCTGTGAGTGCCTGAAGTGCTGTTCTAGAAATCTCCACTGCAGAGTTACTAATGCCATGATGTTCACAAATGGTAACAGAGACATTTAAGGCACACCCATGTAGCACATGTGTTCAAATGACAGCTGGGCAGCAGGACATGAGCTGCAGAGGTACAAGGACAGCCAGGACAGATTGATGCTCCACTTACAGGAGCCTGGAGATCCAGCCCCAACAGTGAGTTGGGGCCAGGATTTCTGAGAGAACTCTCTTTCCATGCAACACCCCGCCTAGCCTGCCACTAGCATTCAAGGTTTCTGATCCCTAAAGGATGGTTTTGCCAGGCAGGTCCTTCTGCTTCACTCTCTCTGGAAATTCTCTGGAGTTTGGGAGTCCTCCTTTGCAAGCACAAAGCCCTCCACAAACAGCCCATCAAATGGGTTTCAGGAGGTGGGATTGTGGCTCTTGAAGCATCCCCAGACTTGCTTGTTAAGCCGGGTAGCACCAACCAATATATTATCTGGCCAGCAGCCAAAGTCCATGGTTGTGTCCTCTGCTGACTGGTGGCTATCTAGTGAATTCAGAGTCTTAGATGTGGCAGGGCACCAGCTTAGCATGTGGGGAGCCCTGAGCTCATTCCCCATTACCACTACCAACATTACCAGCAGGGCCACTGTGGAAGAGAATCTGCCATCTTTGGGCCATTATGCCCATCACTGAGCTGCTCACGATGAAGGCACCCTCTACCAACATACAGTGACTTCTTCAGAAGGTGCCCATGATATGGGCCCTTGACTGACACACCTGCAGGATGCTTTGATGAACCATGAGGAAAGAGGTTTTCCATGAGTGATAGTACCTGGCTGATCATCCAGACCTCTCTAAGGTGGATCCTGAGAGTCTAAAATTGAGGTCAGAATTGGCAGCCACCACATTACCATGTCACCTGCTTGCTTCTCAGAGCTTTGTAAATGCAACCTTCCTAGTATTTTATTCTTCCTGGATTTCCATGCACTGGAAGAACAAGGAGAGAGAGGAAGGGGAACACAGAGAAAAGGACAGAGAGGTACTTCTACTACTTCTACAGAAGAGCCAGGGTCCGTGTCAGTGGTGGCCAGGAGACTCTCAAAGAGTCCCTGGGTGTGGAGTCCCTTCATTGCCTTCTCCTGTCACTCTGGTAACCATTTTGCTTTAGGGGGACTTTGTGAAGAATATCCCCATGAACCATGGTGTGTACACATGGCCAGATGGCAGCACATATGAAGGTGAAATAATCAACGGCATGAGGAACGGATTTGGTATGTTCAAGTGTGGCACACAGCCTGTGTCCTACATCGGCCACTGGTGTCATGGCAGGAGACACGGGAAGGTACGTGAGGTGCACTGTTGAAAAAATCTCATCCATGTGAATGTATGCATGGTGTGAAATTAGCCCTTCATAACATTGTACAACCAACATCACTATTGAGTCTGAAAACATGTCAGTACCACAAAATAAAGCATATATGTATTAGGAAGTTTCTCCTCATCCTTCCCACTCCACACCCCTAGAAATTATCTACCAATTCACTTACTGTGTATATGGACTTACTGCTTAGATATTGTGTAATTCAAACTTTTTGTCACTGTAACAAAAACCCTTGCCAGGCATGGTGGCACACGTCTTTAATGCCAGCATTTGTGTGCAGAGGCAAGTGAATCTCCATGAGTTCAAGGTCAATCTCATCTGTATAGAGAGTTCCATGCCAACCAAGAGACATAGAGAGACCTTGTCTCAAAAGAAAACAAAGCAAACACACCATACCTTTGTTTGTTTTGAGACAGGCTCTTACCCTGCTGCCCAGGCTGTCCAGGAACTTAAAATGTAACCCAGGCTGATCTCCAGCTTGGGGTGATCTTTCTGCCTCACTGCTCAAGTGTGGGGATTATAGGTATGAGCCACCATGCCTCACTGAAGGTGGGACTTGTTATCTGTTCCATGCCTTCTTAGAACATGTGATTATTAAGGCATGTGTTGGTGTGACTAGGAAATGTTACTCACAGTTTCATGTGTGGGAAGCTTGGCCTCTATCTGATGGTCCTAATTGGAAGTTTCTGGAAAACAGGCATGGTCAACCTGTGAGCCATGTGGCCTGTGCATTCCTGGATACCATGAATAAGGCCCAGCACACTTATAGATAGCAACATCAAGTCTCAGTGTCAAAAGGTTGGGTGGCCCTGATGGGATGTGAGACCTAGCTGGAGAAAGCAGATCACTGGGAGCTGGTCATCTGGGAACTAGCTTGTCCCTGGTCCCTTCCTGCTCCTCTGTACTTCCTGTCTGTCACAGGTGATTAGCTTCTGCCAAATGACCTATTGCCATGACCCTCCACCTCACCACTGACCCCTAACTAACAGAACTGAGGCTGATGAATTGAAATCTCTGAAACCACAAACCAAAATAAATAATCCCTCCTTAATTTGCTTCTACAAGATATTTCTCCCCTGAAAAGAAAAAGTGTGACTCACACAAGTAATTGCTGACATATGACGTTGGTGAACATGCTTTACCCTTTTCTTTCTGTGTCCATGCACATATTTATGGTGTGCATGTGACAGTTAGAGGACAACGTTGGATGCTTGTACTCATCTTTTACCTTGTTTGAATCAGGTCTCTTATTACTCACTATTATGTACAGTACGCTGTGCTCCCAGAGGTTTCCTTGTCTCTACATCCCATTTCCTAGCAAGAATGCTGGGATGACAGATGCTTACACTGTGTGTCCAGCTATTTTATGGGGATTCTGGGATCTGAATGCAGATCCTCATGCTTGCATAGGAAGCAATTTTACCCACTGAGACATTTCCCCAATCCATTTGGTCTGCAAAACCAAAGCATCATGGGTTATGTATCTTGATAATTACGGCATTGACTTCTGCATAGTTTATAGTTCTTAGATTTGTATGTCTGATCTTTACATTTGCAAGAGGATTTGCATCATGAGGCTTGATTTCCTCTAATATTGTTTGTTTTAGGGCTCCATCTATTACAACCAAGAAGGAACCTCTTGGTATGAGGGAGACTGGGTATACAACATCAAAAAGGGCTGGGGAATAAGATGGTAGGTGCGACCCTTCCCTCCATGTTTGGGTTGTGGGTGAAAAGCTTTCAGAGGTTCATTTCATTCTCACTCAGACGAAAGATGAGATGCAGGAATGATGGAGAACACATTTTCTGTCCAAGTGTGGTAGAGTTTTCAATTACCCTAGGGAGACTCTCCATAGTAATGAAAACATTCTCTAGGAAATCACAGAACACATTCCTGAGTGGTTTCTGAGCAACAGCAGTATTTTTGTTTGATTTTAGATTGAGCTGATAGTCATTTGTTGTTATTATTTTAGTTTTGGCAGTGCTAGGGATTATACCCAAGGGTCTGCCACATACTAAGCAAGTACCCTACTACTGGGCTACAACCCCAGCCCCATTTGCTCTTTACATACAAGGTCTTGCTGACCTTGAACTCCAGAGTCCCTTCTCTGCCTTCCAAGTGCTAGGATTACAAACCTGTACCTCCATACCCAGAAGGGTTATGTGTTCTTTTAAGATTTATTTTTTATTTATATATGTGTGTATGTGCACATATGTGTTGGTGCCTTTGAATCCAGAAGAATGTGTCCAGTCCCCTTGAGCTGGAATTACAGGTGGTTGTGAACTGTCCAACATGGATGCTGATGAACTCTGGTCGGGTGGAAGAGCAGCAAGTGCTCCTAACCACTGGATAGGGAGATGGATCAGTCAGTAATGGTCCTGCCAGCAAAGCATGGGGATCTGGCAAATCCCCAGCATTGTGTAAAAAGCTAGGAATAGCTGGGTAGTGGTGGTACACGCCTTTAATCCCAGCACTCAGGAGGCAGAGACAAGCGGGTCTGTGTGAGTTCAGGGTCAGCCTGTTCTACAGAGTGAGTTCCAAGACAGTTAGGGCTACACAGAGAAACCCTGTCTCAAAAATAGGAGGGGGAGGGAGCTGGAGAGATGACTCAGGGGTCAAGAGCATTGACTGCAATTCCAAGGGTCCTGAGTTCAATTGCCAGCAACCACATGGTGGCACACAACCATCTATAGTGGAATCTGATTCCTTTTCTGACATAAAGTTATCATGCAGATAGAGCACTCATACATAAAATAAATGAATAAATCTTAAACAAAGCCAAAAAGCTGGATATAGCAGCATGTGCCTGTAACCTCAGCACAGGGAAACAGAAACATGGGGATCCTTAAAGCTTATTACAGATGAATTGATGAGCTCTGGTTCAGTGAGAGACCCTGTCTCAAAAAATAACGATGAAGAGCAACAGAGGAAGTACTCCTGGTGTCAGCATTGGGCCTCTACATACACATCAGACATACCACATACATGCCCAACAACATACAGTGTTTAGTGATAAAATATTAAGTAACCACAACACAATAGGAGTTTCTAAACAACTCCTCACTCTAAAACCTCACTCTTGCCCATTATTTGAATAATGAAGAGGTTTAATAAAGGGAAGTATTTCACTCTCTAATATGGGTATTTTTGGCCAACCATATGCTACCCATTTTTCAGTACTGGGAACAGTGTTCTGGGTCCTGGGTTGGATTTCCTGAGAAGTGTTCTGGGGGTGAGTTTAAGGGTGTTAAAGGCAAATGCTGTTTGTATGAGCTAACCAATTGTTCATCATTTGTTTCTTTGGTTCCAGCTACAAATCAGGAAACATATATGAAGGCCAGTGGGAAAACGACATGCGCCATGGGGAAGGCAGAATGAGATGGCTGACAACAAATGAGGAGTATACTGGTCACTGGGAAAAGGGGATTCAGGTAGGCATCTGTCCATCACATGGGTCACAGCCTGAGGTGGGAGCGCTTCTAATCGTCCACCAGTCTATTCAGAATTATACCTTGTGGTATCTGTCATTTAAGCACTACAAGTCAAAGAAACTCGTAATGGTTAGTATTACCTGTCAGCTAGAATCTCCTGTGAGGTGGACCTCTGGGACAGCCTGGGATATGTCATTTTGATTACTTTAGTTGATGTGGGAAGGGACCATTCCTTGGGCAGGAATTCTGCACTGTATTAACTGAAGAAAGCTAGCTGAACATGCGTCGATTGCTCTCTGCCATGACTGCAGATGCAGTGGGACCAGCTGTCTCAAGCTCGTACCACTAGGTATTTTATCACAGTGACAGAAAAGAAACTAAAGCATTGGCTGGGCCATGGTGGCACACGCCTTTAATCCTAGCACCCAGCACTCAAGAGGCAGAGGCAGGCGGATCTCTGTGAGTTAAAACAGCCTGGTCTACAAGAGCTAGTTCCAGAACAGCCTCCAAAGCTACAGAAAAGCCTATCTATCTTGAAAAACCAACCAACCAAACAAACAAACAAACAAACCTAAAACACAACCTAAAGTTACAATTTACTAGTCCCAGCCACACTTTTTAATCACTGTTTTATTATTTAGTCTTCTATAATGACCTCACACATCTTTGATCCAACCTACAAGATAGATGCCATTTCCATTTTATACTTGGAGAACCTAAAGGGCTGGAATCATTTGCCATAGTTCAAAAAAAAAAAAAAAGACAGCTTGTAATCAGCTGTCCCCAACCCTGGTTCTAGATTCATGTGTTCTACCCCTTCAAGTTATCAGTATCTTTGCCATAATTTGAGTTTAATTAAAAGGGGGTGAATTCTGAGGATTTATGCTGACAAGGTGTTTTCTTCTCAGAACGGCTTTGGAACACACACATGGTTCCTAAAGAGAATCCCCAGCTCTCAGTATCCTTTGAGAAACGAATACATAGGAGCATTTGTAAATGGATCCCGTCATGGACATGGGAAGTTTTACTATGCCAGTGGAGCGATGTATGAGGGAGAATGGGTTTCCAACAAAAAACATGGCAGGGTGAGTGTAGCTGGTGAAATATGGTGAAAGGTGTGTATCTGGTAAGTTGCATTTCATTTTGTAAAGATAACTATTTTAGTTAGGTGATTACATGCATTTGGAGCTATTTACAACCTATTATCTATTTCCTGGATATTTAAAAATGGTTTAATCGATTTTTGTTTTATGTGTATATAAGTAAATGCAGGTGCTAGTTTCAAGTTACAGTCTAGCTTAAACTTTCATATATAATAACAAGGTAGGCTTTGGGGCTGGCTTGCACTATTAACTCATCATTCTTTCCTATCTACCCATATGGCAGCTTTACTCTTGCATTGCCCCTTTCTAGTGATTCCAAGATAGCTACTGTGATTCCAGCCTTCACATTGCACACCCTACTAAAAAAAGGAAAAGCAACTTATTTCACAGAGCTGAACTGGGTCATTTTTCCACCTCAGAATCAGTACTTACCATCCTGGGGTTGACAGAGAGCAGGGCAGTGCCTATTGGGATGGGCCCTCTGCTGGCCATTCAGAACATTTAATAAGGTATTTTCTGTGGCCTGGAGGTGATTAAACTTGGGAAGAGATTGGAAAACCAGGAAGAGGAGGGGAGAAGGAGGAGGTGTGATGTGAAACCTGATGGAGGATGATTCTTTGGTGGTCTAAGTACTCACCTTCAAAACTAAAAGCTCCAAACCCTTGGAAACTCCCCTGATGAACACTGAGTAATATTCCTTCTGAACCATTCAATGTTGTGTTCCTACCCACAGGGCAAAATGACTTTCAAGAATGGACGTGTGTATGAAGGTCTGTTTTCCAATGACCACATTGCGCAGTTCCTTGAATCTGAAATGGATTACACACGCAGCCTAGACCGTCGGTCAGATGTCTCCCAAAGGAGCCGGCAGCCTAGGGGATCTTCTGTCAGTGCTTGTAGGGAGCCTGGTGGGTGAAAGTAAATTAATATCTTTTATTCCTATTATTTATTTATTTATTTTGGTTTTTCGAAACAGTGTTTCTCTGTGTAACAGTTCTAGCTGTCCTGGAACTCACTTTTGTAGTTCAGACTGGCCTTGAACTCACAGAGCTCCACCTGCCTCTGCCTGAGTGCTGGGATTAAAGGGGTGTGCCACCATGCCTGGCCCTACAAATTAATATCTTATGTATAGTTTTCATTCACAAAAATATACCTGCTGCTTCAGAAAATGGTAGTTTCCTTTAATGTTATGCTTGTTTTTGTTTAGGCTGGCTGGCCTTGAACTCATTGACTAGACAAGAATAATCTTGAACTCCTGATCCTCCATCCTCCACCTCCCAAGTGCTAGGATTACAGAAGTGTACCACTGTGCCCAGTTTTATGTAGTGCTGGAGACTGTACCCAGGGCATCATGTGTGTTAGCCAAGTACTCTACCAACTGAGCTACATTAGCTAGGCTAATATTCAACTATTGGCTAGTGGTTTGTTTTCTTCCATTACTATGGGAACTGCTAGTGCTCTATCACGGAACTGTTTCCAAGCCCTCCTTTTGAATTTTTAATTTAAGAAATGTTTTTATTTGTTTGTGTATGTGGTGGTCAGAGGACAACTTGGGGAAGTCCATTTATCCTTTAACCATGTGGGTCCCAGGGATCAAACACAGGTCATTAGCTTTGGCAGCAAGCACCATCACAGTGGACCTTAGTTTTTAATTTTGAAAAGGAGTATAAGTTGTTTAGGCTGGCCTTAAAATCTATCTGTAGCATAGGCTGGTCTTGAACTTAGAATCCTCCTGCCTTGGCTCCCTCAGCCACTGTGATATATAGGTCTGTGCCACAGTGCCTGGTTGTTGAGTACTCTTCTATCACATTTTGATAGATAACCATTCTGATGTGACATTGAAAGGATTTATTTTAGAGTTTTATTTGCATTTATATACATGTACTTGTCTGTGGGTGCCCTCAGAGACCAGAAGAAGGTGCTGGATCCTAGAGCTGGATTTACAGACAGTTCTGAGTTGCCTGTCATGGATGCTGGGAACCAAGCTCAAGTCCTCTGGAAGAGCAGCAAACTCCCTTAACTGCTGAACCATCTTTCCAGCCCACATTAGAAGGATTTTACCGTTTCATACTCATCTCCCATATTTGCTTCATTTGTTAGAGACTCTACGAAAGTTGGATGGCAGCGAAAGCCATTCTGTGTTAGGATCAAGCATTGAGCTGGACTTAAATTTGTTGCTGGACATGTACCCCGAGGAAACCCAGGAAGAAGAAAAAAAGCAGGTAAAACCCTTTACCACTATGCACTTATATTTTAGGCACTGTTTTTGTCTTCTGTGTGCCTGGGGCTTGCACTATCTAGACCATCTCAACCCTGTAGTGAGTAGGCTCTGTGAGAAAAAGGTAGCCCAGAGAGCAGGACTCAGTGGCATTGCCCGGGCTTAGAGCAACTGAAGCCCAAGGCTGTGATCACTTCCCATTAGTGGAAGGTGGTTTAGAGGGACTGCTAGCAGTCACAAATTCCTGGACTCCCTAGGAGAGATGGCTCTGTTAAATAGCATTTGTTGCAGACGGATGGTAGTGGTGCATGCCTTTAGTCCCAGAACTTGGGAGGCAGAGGCAGGTGGATCTCTGAGTTCAAGGCCAGCCTGGCCTACAGAGTAACACAGAGAAATTCTGTCTTGAAAAACCAAAAAAAAGCATTTGTTGCTCTTAGAGAGAACCTGGCTTTGATTCCTAACACCAACATAACCATAACACTCATAACCATCTATAACTCAATTTCAGGGGGATCCTACTATGCCTTTGCACTAGTCACACATAAGGTACACATACATACATGTGGGCAAAGCACTTATACATATAAAATAAAATAAATAAATCTAAAAATAAAAGAGGCAGAAGAAGAAAAAAAGCCTGCTATGTTGGGGCTGGAAAAATAGCTCAGTGGTTAAGAACTGCTCTTCCAGAGGCAGCAGGTTCAATTTTCAGCACCTACATAGTAGCTAACAATCATCTGTAACTCCAGTTACAGGGGCTCCAATACCTTCTTCTAGACCTCACAGGAACTGCATACATATGGTGCCGTGACATATGTGCAAGCAAAACACCTATACAGACAAAAATTTAAAAATCTAAAATAGAAAAAAGAAACCCAATGTACATGATGTAATCCCAGCCAATGTGAGTGCTAGGAACTGAGCTTAAGTCTTCTACAAGAGGAGCAAGCATCTCTCCACTGAGCCATCTCTCCAACCCCTTAGTTTTGTTCTAATGCGGCACAATTAGGCCACATCTGCTGCCTTCTTTTCAGGTAGAATATGCAGTCCTAAGGAACAGCACAGAGTTAAGAAGGATCTACTGCTTCTACAGCAGCCTTGGGTGTGACCACTCTCTGGATAACACATTTTTGATGACAAAGCTTCACTTCTGGAGATTTCTGAAAGACTGTAGATTTCATCACCACAATATAACCCTTGCAGATATGGACAGGGTACTAAGTGGTGAGTATCCCAGCTTCTATTTCTCTCTTGGTTACTGCTACCTGGAAACAAAACTAAAAAATGTTGAGAGATGGCTCAGCATAAATGCCTCTGCCCAAGCCCAAACAAGTAGGCATGGAGGCAAAAGAATACAGTGGACATGAGGCTTTTAATGACAGTCTTGCAAGAGTAGTATCTGGCCTTAGGGATCATTATAAAAGAGGGAATGGAAATTCCAAGAGTCAGAGAAGGTGGACATCTGCAGTGAAAAAGTATTTGCCAGACATGACAGGGCCGTGACTGCATGACAAGACCTGCACAAGATCAAGCCAGCCCAAATCCCAAAGTGGATGGGGAGGAACTCACGAAGTCTCACCCCTACCTGAAGAGCCATTAGCAATTGACAGCTGTTGGGGAAGGGAGAGTCAGCTTTCTAAAGGGATGTGGTCCCTGATAAGCTAACCATATTCAAGTAGTTCTACACCCACTCACATAGCGGCAGCATTAAGTAGACTCAGGGGACTTTAAAAAGGAGCACACGCACTTGGCAAGTAAAGGTGGTAGGGATGATAGGAGAGGAGTTGGAGGGGAGGGAATGGGGGTGTGTTTGAACAAACACATTATTTGCATGTATGAAGTTATCAATTTTTTTCTTTTTCTTTTTTTTTTTTGGTTTTTCGAGACAGGGTTTCTCTGTGTAACAGCCCCTGCTGGCCACTCCCTTCTCCAAAAACTTGTTAGCATACACATGGACCTAGTCACATAAGCAGGTTGCCTGTGATTTTTTTTCCACCCTGAGATAAACTTCTTGAGTTGGGAATAGCCAGGAAGCCTAGACAAGCAGGGGCCAGGTACATCCTGCTTACCTGTAACTTTGTAACTTATAAGACTAACTGAGGCACTTATGTATTGAAAATGGACTGTCATTTTATTCCCTGCACTCAGTGGGTAAGAATGCTTGCAGCACCCATGCAAAAAGCCAGTCATAATTTCATATGCCTGTAACCCAATATTGGTGGGTAGATGGATTCTGAGAATTTGCTAGCCAAGTTCTCAGTGAGAGACCCTACTTCAAGGCAGTAAGGTAAAGAGCAATAGAGGAAGATGCTTGATGTCCTGGTATGGCCTCAGTGTGCCTATGCATGCATAGGTGTGCATACTGACTAACTAAGTACATGTATCCCCCCACACACACACATGTATAGGCATGTCCAATGCTAACAGAGGGAAAGCAAAGAGAATCAAAAGTCAATGAAATGAATGACCTGCCTAGGTTTGCAGTGTAACTGTAGGCAGTGAGAGCAGTGATCAAATGCCACCCAATCGGTTTCCGGTGCAGCCAGAGTAAGAGAGACCTGGCATCTGAAGGGGACCATGGCCAACAACGAGCGCACCTTCATTGCTATCAAGCCTGATGGGGTCCAGCGGGGGCTTGTGGGCGAGATCATTAAGCGTTTTGAACAGAAGGGGTTCCACCTTGTTGACCTGAAATTTATGCAGGCTTCAGAGGACCTTCTCAAGGAGCACTACATCGACTTGAAGGACTGTCCCTTCTTTACTGGCATGGTGAAATAGATGCATTCAGGACCAGTGGTTGCCATGGTCTGGGAGGGGTTGAATGTTGTGAAGACAGGCCTGCAGACTCTAAACCTGGGACCATTCGAGGAGACTTTTGCATCCAAGTTGGCAGGAACATCATTGACGGCAGCGATTCTGTGGAGAGTGCAGAGAAAGTAGATCAGCTTGTGGTTTCAGCCTGAGGAGCTGGTAGATTACAAGAGCTGTGCACAAAACTGGATCTATGAGTGACAGGAGGGCACCTGCTTTCCCCCTCTGCTTACCCCTGTTCTTACAGGCAAGGGACCAGTAACTCTAGAATTCCTGGAACTTCCTTTGACCTGGAAGGAACCTCTGGGAGCTGTGACTTCCTGTGCACTGTTAAGTGCCACTGGTTGATTAAAGTGTTTCATCTCCAAAAAAAAAAAAAAAAAATACCGCCCAAACAGAGGTGCATGTTATGGTCCCTGTCCGAATCCAGCCCCAGTTTGTTTTTGTAAGTCCATCTTTCCCGGAGCACAGCCAGGCACCTCTGTTTTCAGGTTCCTGTGGCTGCTTTTGCCCTGCTTTATGGAGCTCAGTAATTGCGACAAAATATCTGAAACACAAAGCCTCAAGCATTTACTGTTGGACTCTCACAGGAAACTTTGCCTCACCCCATCTGTTGGGTGACGGGGGGGGGGAGCAGGCTACTAAACGGTTAAGTCAGAAGCGAGGGTGATCAGGAAAGACTTAGAAAACTATGAAAAGCATCAGGGAAACTTAGGATTAGGCCAAATTTCAAATTAGAAGATTCATACCATTAACAATCTTGAAAGTTTTATTCCCTTCAGATGAGTTCTAGAAGGAATAACTGAAAGTCTCAAATTTATCTACTTGAAAAATAAAATATTAGAGAAAGGGGCTATAGAGATAGTTCAGTGGTTAGGGGCATCTGCTTTGCAGAAGACCCAGCTTTATTCTCAGCATCTACATCAGATGGCTCACAACTGCCTGTAACTCCAGCTTCAAGGGGATCCAATGCCCTCTTCTGGCATTGCCAGGCACCTGCATGCAAATGCACATACAACCCCATACACATAATTTAAAATAATGTTGGCTTAAATTAGAGAAAATGCTTGTTTTCTTCAAACTTATTGGTTAAAAACATATGTAAACTCCATTTAGAAGTGGGGACAGTGGTGTAATACTGGTATCCTTAATTCCAGTATTTTGGAGGCTAAGGCAGAAGAATTTTGAGTTCCAGGACAACATAAGATACATAATTAGAATCTGTAACACACACACACACACACACACACACACACACACACACACACACACACACATGACAGGGGAACAAGGTATCTTGTAAATGTCTCATAATGTAACTGGAACTCTTCTGTGCAGTAGCTGATCTCATCAATGCTTTTCTTTCAGTCTATAATGGCATACCAATTGAAGAAATCCACTCTCCATTCAGAACTATACTCTTAAGAACATTCCTGAATTACCTCCTGCAGTTGGCTTACCACATCCATCACAAAGAATTCCAGTAAGTGTCACTTCTGTGTCCCTACAAGGGGCCTCAGCACACCCTCTTTTCAATAGTAGCCAGGGTTGTTTTGACACACTTCACAAGAAGGACTAGAAGCAATGCTATTCTGCAGAGTCCAACCACAGTGCCCGGGTACTAGATGAAAAATTGGGAATCCCCACTGGTTTGTTTCTGTAGTTACAATCAGTTCTTCCTTCTTGAGTTGGAACACCCTTTCTTTTTTCTTTTTTTTTCCAAGACAGGGTTTCTCTGTGGCTTTGAAGGCTGTCCTGGAACTAGCTCTTGTAGACCAGGCTGGCCTCGAACTCACAGAGATCCACCTGCCTCTGCCTCCCGAGTGCTGGGATTAAAGGCGTGTGCCACCAATGCCCAGCAAGAACACCCTTTCTTAATGACTTTTTTAATGCAGTTTAAGAGCTGGGGATGTGGTTTAGTTGGTAGACTGCTTGTCTAGAATGCAGAGACCATGGGTTCTATCCACAGCACCTTATAGAACAGACATGTAATTACAGACATGTAATTACATGCACATGCCTGTAATTCCAGCACTCAGGAGGTGGAGACAGGGGGATCAGGTAAAGATTCAGGCTGGAGAGATGACTCAAGGGTTAAAGCACTGAAGCTCTTCCAGAGGACCTGAGTTCAGTTCTCAGCACCCAGCTGGGCAGCTCACAACTTCTTGCATTTACTGCTTCAGGGGATCCAATGCTGTCTTCTGGTCTCCACATATATGCATGTACACATATATGTACACAGACACACACACAAAAATAAAAATAAATCTTTTTTTCAAGAAGTCTGTACAATGAGGCCAGCCTGTGCAACATAAGACCCTGCCTCTCTTTCTTTGTCTTTCTGTTTGTCTTTCCTGTGGATGTGTGTATAAATTTAATATATATATATATAGTGTGTATATATTTTTTTATTTTATTTTACGAGACAGGATTTCTCTGTATTGTTTTGGAGGCTGTCGGTCCAGCCCGGCCTCGAACTCACAGAGATCCTCCTGCCTCTGCCTCCTGAGTGCTGGGATTAAAGGCATGTGCCACCAACGCCCGGCGAGTGTGTATATCTTAACATAGCATTATAATTACATAATTAGATTTTCAGAAGTGTTAGTGTTAAGTACATTGGATTCCTATGTATCCTGCACCCAGATTCCCCTAGTGGCAACCTCTTCCCACAGTTGATTCATCAAAAGCAAGGACTTGACACTGCTACAGTGTCATTGAACTCAGAACCTGCTCTCAAACATGGTGGAAGGTGAGGACTAAAACCTGAGGCCACAGCATGCTAGACAGATGCTCTATTACTTAGCTGCATCCCCAGCCAAGAGTTGCCATTTCCCATGATCCCTTTTCAGTCCTAGGAGTTCACACTGCATTTTGCCTCCAAAGTGTCTCAGACCCTCCAGTCTGTGACAGTTACTCAGCCTTTGTCTTTCACAATCTTCCCATCTTAAAAAAAAAAATCGTTTGGCCGTTTTGTAAAGTATCTCACCATTTGTGTTTGCAATGTGATGTTTCTCTCACAGTTGCACTGAGGTAAGACATTTGGGGCAGAATACTAGGTCCGAACTTTTTAGATATTTTTTGTGCATGTTTATGATATGTGTGTATGATGTATGTGTGTGCAGGCATGCATGTGGCAGCCAGAGGACTATCTCAAGTAACAGTCCTCACCTTCCACCTTGTTTGACACAGATCCTTTTGCTGTTTGTCACTGTGTCCACCACGCTAGCTGGCCTGCATAGCACATTCTTTTCCAATTGAGCCATCTCTCCAGCTAGAACCACTCTCCTCACAAAATGGTATGAGCAGCACATAGCTTCTATATGGCTAATTACTAGTGCTCACAAAGTAAATTGTTGCCAGGTAGACTTCCCTACTATAAACTTACTCTGTTTCCCTTTCTGTATTTTATTTGTTAGAAGAGAGTTGTCAAGTCTAGCCCACCCTTCAGAAGAGTTAAGCTACACCTCCTGGAATAATTATGGTATCTTTTTAATCATAGGAACAAAAGCCCATCACTCTTTTTGTGTTTTACAAAACTGATGACTGAGAACATTCATCCACATGCCTGCCAGGTAAAAGGTAAATACAAAAATAATAGGATTATATTTACTATCTTTAAAAAATAGTTCTATGATAATTTTTGCATGTGTGGTATGTGTGTGTGTTTATATGTTTGCATGTATGTAGACATGTGTTGTGCTGGTGTGTGTGTGTGTGTGTGTGTGTGTGTGTGTGTGTGTGTGTGTGTACATATAAGCCAGAATTTGACATCAGGTGTTTTCCTCCATTGATCTTCACTTTATTTATGAGACAGGGTCTCTCACTGAACCCTGAAGTCATTGATTTGACTAGTCTAGCTAGCAACTTGCCCCAGGAGTACCATCTGCCTCTAGGGTTATAGGCAGGTGACTATGCCCAACATGATTTTTGGGTGCTGGGAATCTGAACTTCAGTCCTTTTTTTTCCCAATGAGCCATCTCTCCAACCCTGTAATCACTTCTGAATGTTGTATTTTTAGGTAATTTATTCAGTGAGCAACAGCGGACACTCTACTCAATGAATTATATTGATAAGTGCTGGGAGATTTATACAACCTACTGCAGACAAAATGAAGCCCCACCCTATGAGCTAACAATGAAGATGAGGTATTTCCTCTGGATGCTGAAAGTAAGCTTAATAACTCTTAGGATTGATATTGACTTTATGTTAATAGTACTTTGATTTTAATTCCAGTAAATCAGTGCTACATAATTAAGGAGGTGAAGATCTGGGGTGACCTTTTGAGACCACCAAATGTTTACAAGTGACCTTTCACAGGAGACAGTCTGTGATAGCAAGAGGCATGGGCACAGGGATGCCTGCCTGGCATACTCACAGAACAGAAGAAAGGAAGGCCTGAGCCCTGCAACATCTTCTTATGCACATGTGGCCACTGAGTGGAAGAGATAAATACCACTTAAAAATTTTGTGTAATACTTGATCCAGGGTGTGTGTGTGTATGTGTGTGTGTGTGTGTGTGTGTGCGCGAGCGCGCGTGCGTGCGCGGCGCCCCCCCCCCCCCCGTGTGTGTGCGCATGTTTGTGCACGGCACGGGCAAGCACATGTGTTATCAAGCTTGGTGGTAAGTGCATTTACCCCCTCAGGCATCTAGTCAGCCCTAAGTATCACTAAAAATACAACATTGGGGCTGGAGAAATGGCTCAGTGACATAGCACTTGCTGCTTTTGCAGAGGACCTGATTTCAATTCTCCACAACCACATGGCAGCTCATAATCGTCTGCAACCCTAGTTCCATGGGATCTGATGACTTCTCCTGACCTCCTCCTTGGGAGGCATCAGATATGAATATGGTACACGTACATACATGTAGGTAAAACACTCATATACAGAAAATAAATATAAAATTTTCTTTATTTATTTTTATAAAAAATTTTATACATATTTTTAGCTGGTCAGAACTGGACTGTCCCTTGTCCGTGGAACACTTGCCTATGGCACACAGGCCCTGTGTTCAGTTCCCAGCACTGCAAAACAAATAGAAATTATTGCTCAGCAAACAGTAATTTTAAAGTATATTAGTTTGGAATCCAGGCATGGTATTAAGTTCCTATAATCCCAGTACTTGGGAGGCTGAGACTGGAGGATCAAGAGTTCAAGGTCAGCCTAGGCTACATAGTAAAATCCTGTCTCCAAAAAAAAAAAAGTCATTAGTTTGAAAAACAATTGACATGTCTGTATACAGCATTCTCAAACTGGTTGCTAGCTTTGTTCCATAATCTTTTAAATTTGTACTTGTGGGAATACAAATAATGAGTTGGAAATAATCAAATGTTAGTGAGAGAGTATTTAGGAACTTAATTATATATACATAAAAAGTGACAAAAATTTATAGTTTAAATGTAGGGAAATGTGTTTAAAAGGTTATGATTTGGGGTGAAATATTACACAGCTTTTGTTCTCTTCTTTCCTTGTGCCCATTTACTACTGAAGAAACAAAGTCATTTGTCCCTGCAGAGGTTGGGCATGCTGGTTTTGACTGACAGCTTTCTCAGTCAGGGTTAACACCTCTTTTCCCCACAAGTCCACGAAAGTGGCATTAGAAAGAGAGACTTGAGTAGATTCAGATGTATTGTGTTCTGCAAAGCCACAGGGGGCTACTAGTCTTTCTCATTATGCTTCCTTCTAGTGTTGGTGGGATTCACCAGTGGCTTACACTGACTGCTTCCCATAAACCTTTACTGATGGCCTTAGCAGCCCCCAATGGTCATACCTCAGCAGCTAATTAATGTCCACTGTTTCCCTGGAAATGGTACAATAATAACTTTTGGTATCATTTCTATTACATTAATTAAAATATTTTTAAGTTTGTGTATATGTGTGTGTCCGGGTGTGAATGTGTGTACATTCGTCCATATGCCCTTGAAGGGCAGAAGACCTGGGATCCTCTGGAGCTGGAATCACAAGGGATTTGTGCCACTTTATGTGGGTGCCAGCCAGAAAGTCCTAGGGATCTACCCTCTTCCCTAGCACTGGGATTATAGGTGTTTGCTGCTGTTGTGTGCCAGCATTTTACATGGATAGTGGGGGAGGAATTCCGGTCCTCACACTTGCACAGCAAGCATGTTACTCTCAGAGCCATCTCCCCAGGCCCCCAGTGATTCTTATCTAAAGAAGGGTCTTTCTGTGTACCCCAGTCTGACCTCAGTCTTGCAACCCTCCTACCTCAGCTTCCCCAGTGCTGGGACTATAGCCCCAAAATAACCAGTCTTTAAGTACTGACTTCTGATACATTTTCTCAAGGTGTTATGTTGCTGTAATGGACATTCAAATATATCCCCATGTGTGATTATAGGTATCTGTGGTTGGTGTTATCTTTTTATAGGACTTTGGGATGATAAATAAGGACTTAACTGCAACCAAGTTTATGACTGTGATAGCGGAAGAAAACCCTTTCGTATATGATGGAACTGACAGCAACTTTGAATTTGAGGTTTGTAAAATGTTGCTACAGATGGCAGAGATCCAGTTAAGCTGCATTTTTCTTATGCATTGTGTATACAAAAAAGTGGGATGTGGATATGTACACAGTTGCCTTTTCAAAAACCAAAAAGATTAATATTCAACAGGGCCTGGAGAAATGGCTCAGTTAGTAAAGTGCTTGCTGTGCAAGCATGAGGACACAAGTTTGATCCCCAGAAAAGTCAGATGTGGTGGTTTTATGCTTGTGATACTAGTGCTGGGGAGGTGACGATAGGAGGATCCCTGGGACTTGATGGTCAGCCAGCCTGGCTGAATTGGTGAACTCCAAGCCTGTGAGAGACCCTATGTCAAAGAGCAAGATGGGGAGCAATAAAGAAAGACACACATATAAACAAGTCAAAGGCAGGCAGATCTCTGTGAGTTTGAGGCCAGCCTGGTCTACAGAGCGAGCTCCAGGACAGCCTCCAAAACAATACAGAGAAACCCTGTCTTGAAAAAAAAAGAAAAAAGAAAAAGAAATCACCAGTCAATCCCTGGTTCATTCTAGAGTGACAGAATAAGTGAGACCTCTATTTGTTTCTTATCATTGCAGCTGGTTTTCCTGGAATTCTTTGAAGCTCTCTTGTGTTTCTCACTCGGCTGCATTTTTGACCGGATGACTAGATCCTATTTAAAAGTTCCATATGATGATGTTACTGGAAACCGATACGGCAGCATACATACAATACTAAACCAGGTGACAGACAATACAGTTTATAAAGTTCATAAAGCAAGGGATGACTTCAACCTGGTGTGGTTAGACTGGCATCAAAAGTGTCTCAAGCTTTTTTTATGTATACTTCCAAGAGATAATTTAGGACTTGAGAACATGGACATTTTCTTTCACTGTTGGAAGGAGTGCATGGTTTTGTTAGTTAAGTTAGGGGAAAATGTACTTCCTGGTATTGGCCACAGCAGTGGAAACAGCACAGTGAAGGTCGGTATGAAAAGCAGCTACCATAGATGCTTTGTCTAGTGTACAGAGAGTGGAAAGCCCACCTGAGAGCAAAGATGCCAAGAAATAGTCCCTGGGTGTGCATGCACGACTAAGGAGATCACTGAGGCACTGTGAGACCCTGGCAGAGCCAGGACTGTGGCTTATAAGGAAATGAGACTTGGGTCAAATTAAGACACAACAGATTTTTAGTGGGGTTTTCATGTTAGTGGACTTGAAGGGTTTCTGATGTTTGAGACACTCACTTGGAGCCACAAGAGACATTCTCTGAGCCCAAAGGCTAGGAGAGTCTTTGTTTGTTTGTTTTAATCCCCCCAGTAGTGGGATTAAAGGTGTTCACCACCACACCCAGCTTGGAAGGTTCTTCAGAGCTGCTCATATGGGGAGATTTCTCACAATTTATCCAAGAGATAGCTCTCACCACAAATCCCAGGGACATACCTTGGATTCCTTATAGGAAACTAGCGCTTCATGTCCTTTTCAGCACCTCACTGCCTATCACATTGGTCAAGTATGCCTCCTTCACGCAAGTGAGTGTCCACCCTGAATCTGTCTACAATTTACAGAAGTCACAGTAGGAAACTAACCTTGTTTAAAAACAGAAATGTAGCCCATAGTCCTGGAAGCTTAAGCACTAGAATCAAATTATGCCCTCCTTAGTGACAGGGTGTCACCCTGGTGACTATCCAACCATAACCATTTCCCAAAGACCCATGTGTAAGCACTGTAGTCAAAGTAAGTTAATAACTTAAAAATGAGTCTTGTGGGACACTTAAAGCACAGTAGATGTCGTTGCCATCAGCTCAGTAGTGTGGGTGTGAATATGCCAGACTGAGGACATCCATAGAACCGTCTGTTCACCTTCATACCCAGTTTCCAAAGCTTCATGGCATGTAGTTTCTGTGTTGTTTTTGTAGCTCAGGGGCTAGTTCCCTCCCCACTTTATGGAAACTGGAAGTTCACCCATCCCAACTTGATCACTGTTCCTTCCTGGGATGAAACAGGCCCTTAGAGATGGTCACCCTAAGACACAGTAGAACCCTGTCTTTCCTCTCAATTCAACAAATTAAAAAGCTACAGTGGTAAGATGGAGTGATTTTCTCCAGAGGTCTGCAGACATCTTCAACCCTTGTATTGTCAGCTGAGTGGGTGTGCTTGTGTGAAAAGCTACAGGAAGTCAGGGAAGGATCATCTGAGAGAAATGGAGTAAGATTCAAGCAAGGCTTCTGTAGGTGTATTCCCAGTGCTGGAATAGAGAAGCCATATGACAAGGGAGGAAGGCTGCTACATCTGAAATGCCCACGAAGGTCCAGGTGTTAAAAAGGCCCAGTCAGCAGTCTGAAAACAAAAACAAAACAAACCCCCATCTACATGGAATTCAATGCTCAGAAAAATAAAACAAACAAACAAACAAACAAACATTTCAAAAATGAAACTGAAGGGCTGGAGGAATGGCTCTGCTCATAGCCAAGGGCACTTGCTGTTCTTTTAGAGGAGCTGAGGCAGGTAGATTGTTATGCATTTGAGGTTAACTTGTTCCAGGCCAGCCAAGGCCACAAATTGAGACTTTGTCTCAGAAGGAAAAAACCACTAGCAAATAATGGGTAAAAGAGAGAATCTAATAGCCAAAGGTACCACATGGTTAACATGATTAGATGCAAACATTGTTTTAAATAACAAAAAAAATCACAGAGCATACTAAGAAAACCATACCACATTCAAAGGAAAAAGGGGAGCCCCCAGAGACATTAGAGAAAGATGAGATAACAGACTTGTAAGACAACGAATTCAAAATAGTTATTTTAAAAATACCTAAAGTGAGCTGGGCAGTGGTGGCATGTGCCTATAATCCTAGCACTGGGGGAAGCAGGGGCATGTGGATCTCTGTGAGTTCAAGTCCAGCCTTGCCTACATATAGAGTTCCAGGCCAGCCGGGGCTACATAGTGAGACCTTGTTTCAAAACAAACAACAACAATAAAGACATGAGTCATTATATGAGTAAAACATTATATATATAAAGATACTATTATGTAGGTGTAGTGGCACTTGCTTGTAATCTCAGTTCTTCAGAGGTAGAGGCAGGAGGATCAGGTGCAAAGTGATCCAGAGCTATGTAGTGAGTTCAAGGCCACTCTGGGCTACCATAAGACCTTATTTTTGCTTATTAGCTTGTTTTTTGTTTTGTTTTGTTTTAAGGAAGAGGCAGGTTATCTTTATGAGTTTGAAGTCATCTTGGTCTGTATTATATAACAAGTTCTAGGTCAACCAGGGCTACATAGTAAGACTGTCTCAAAAAACAAATAACAAACAGCAAGTATTCCCCCCACCTCCCTGAGACAGGGTTTCTCTGTGTAACAGCTCTGGCTGTTCTGGAACTCTGTAGACCAGGCTGACCTTGAACTCAGAGACCCGCCTGCCTCTGCCTCCCCAGTGTGGGATTAAAGATGTGCGCCACCACTACAGGGCTTGCAGCAAGTGTTAATTGCTGAGCTACCTCTCTGACCACAAGATTTTTTTTAAAGAACCACATTGTATTTTATGTATAACAATACAGTTTACATATTAAGCAACATTAGACGGAAATATTTTTTTTTTGGTTTTTCGAGACAGGGTTTCTCTGTATTGTTTTGGAGGCTGTCCTGGAACTCGGTTTGTAGACCAGGCTGGCCTCGAACTCACAGAGATCCACCTGCCTCTGCCTCCCAAGTGCTGGGATTAAAGGCGTGCGCCACCAACGCCCGGCTGAAGGAAATAATTTTATATTGTTTTAAGCAGAAGGGAAAAAGGGGGAAATTTTCCAGTTATAAAACCTCTCTCCCAGCTGGGCATTGGTGGTGCAGACCTTTAATCCCAGCACTTGGGAGACAGAGGCAGAGATCACTGTGAGTTTGAGACCAACCTGGTCTACAGAGCAAGTGCCAGGACAGCCTCCAAAGCCACAGAGAAACCCTATCTCGAAAAACCAAGCCAAAACAGACAAAGCAAAAAACAAAACAAAACAAAAAACCTCTCTCCCAAAACAAATATTCAAAATTACTTTCCTGAGTTGGTCAATGCAGCCAGTAAGCTCAGTGACTAGTTATGTCTGATTCCCAGGGACTGGTGGTCAATAGAATTGAAAAGAAAGCCCACGTCTCACAAGGAAAGCTCATGGCCTCAAAGGAATGACAGGCTAGATTCTTGGAGGATGAAAAAATAGTTCTTGCTACTTGGTTACCCAGGAAGTTGAATTCACAAACCAGCAGGGAAAAGAAAAAACAAAACAAAACAAAAAAACCCTATGGCAGAGTTGAAACTACAAGAAAAAAAATGTATATCCTCTTTCATGACTCATGTTCTTTTGACTGCATCCATCTCCCTCATCAAAATGTTAAGTTTTAAGTTATGTTTATTTTTGCCACAATAAAGATAATGGAGAATAACCAAGTGAAGATGAAAGAAAAACTTTTCAGACATATAAAAGCTGAAAGAACTCATGACCAGACCAGCAAATGCAAGAAACACTGAAGGTCGTTTTTGAAGCAAAAGGAAAATGCTAGCAGATGGAGGGGAGGCTGTTGAAAGAAAAGAGGAATGCTGGAAAGAGTAACTGGATTCTTCTGTTTTCAAACGTCTCTTCAGAAGATAATTGACAGTTCAAAGCAACAATAACTGTACTCATGAAAAAGATAAGCACAGCCTCGGGGTTGGAAGAGAAGAGATGGGAATAGAGTTTCAAAGTTCTAACACCAGGCACTGAGATGGCTCAGCAGTTAAGGACACTTGCCACCAAGCCTGATGACATGAGTCCTTTGATCCTTACAACCCATATGTAGCATACACACATACACATAAAAAGTAATGAGCTGCGTCCCAGACAGAGACATGCATCAGCCTTCTCAAATGGCTACAGTGAGCCAACTGTAAATGTAAAAATGTGAAAAGCAAAAGCAAGAAGCTTGGTTCCCATGCTGACAGCAATCAGTATTGGCCCAAATATTTCAGAGTGTGCTAGTCAACTTTCCCCACCATACAGCGATCTACTTTCTCCAACCAGGCCCCAGGTCCTAAATTTCCATCACCCCAATAATGCTGTCAAGTTACAAATCCACCAGCAGATTGACCAGTTGATTATATATGAGCTTTCATAGTCCTGTCACCTCTCAGACGGTTCTACCATCTAGGGATCAAGCTTCCAACACATTATCCTTTGGGGGACACTTACATCCAAGCTGTCACACAAGGTAAAGGGTATTTCCCAGGACAGAGTCTCATCTAATCATGGTAAAGTAGTCAACTGGTTAAAAGGAGAAAGTTTTATTGGCTGTTTATGGTGTGATTTAAAGGGCGTGTAAACACTGATAGAAAAAGACAAAACAGGTAAGTCTGAACTGGAGATGCTGCCCAGATGACACAGTGCTTATTCTGTATGCATGAAGCTCTGGGTTCCATCCCTAGCACTTCTTGTATCAGGCATGGTGGTGCATGATTGCAAGCCCAGCATTCAGGAGGTGGAGGCAGGAGGATCAGAACTACAGGGTCCTTCTCTGCTACATATTGAGTCCGAGATCATCCTGGGCCACATGAGATCCTACCTCAAAAGAAAGGGGGTTCATAATGTATGATCACATTTATATAAAATTAGAGAGAGTGCGAAGTATCCTGGTAGAAAGCAGAGCATCCCCTGGGAATGGGGAGAGGGAGGTCAGGGAAGTTGGGTGTGACGAGTGTGTTCATTGTCTTGTCTGAGGTGATATTTCCCAGGTGTGGACACATGCTCATAGTGAGCTTGTACATCAGTGACACCTTACTAAAGGATCACATGTGTATGTGTTTGCGTACACTTGTGTGCACTCGTCCATGGGAACCATAAACTCTCACACTTTTCCTCCCTCAGAACCTCCACAGGAGCCCAAGTGCACTCACAAGCCATGATTCTGATGTCCACTTCAGCAGCACCAAATCATCATCTGATAAGATAAGAGTTTTGCCTGATAGTAAAATCAGGAAATCAGAGGTTAGTATTTACAGTTTACCATGTCCTGACCTTATAGTTGCAGTGTCAGTGACTACCTTGTGGCCATTAATTGAAGTAATTCAATTACTGGACAGTAATTCCACCTCACAGGCTGGTGTTGAGTGGAGCGTGGAGCAAGTGAATAGCAGCCGCCCTCATTCTCAGGGCCCTGCCAGTGCCCAACACTTCTTAGAGGTCAACTCACTTAGAAGCCTCAGATGAACTTCAGGCCTTGTTACTTCTAGGAGCAAAAAGGGTACATACGTCCTTGCCTGTGGTCACATACCCAGCAAGCAGTGGAGCTGGGGGCTTGTGCCTAGGAATTTTGATTCTAGAATTTGTACCTGTTATTGTGAACTCTTTCATACTGCAAGAGTATGTGATAGGTATGGCTAATTCAGAGTATGATGGGGTGGGAAGCCACTGGAGTAGTGCATCTTTTAGCAGACTCTAGCTTCTCTGTTGGCAAACCAGTTGGAAAGCTCTTAGAAGCATCATGCTTAGAGGATGGGAGGAGGGCTCAGGACCAAGGGGCTTTGGAGTTAAAGGGAAGGCAAAGGTGAGTCTGGGGAATTTGACTTGAGCACCTGGGGAAATAAAGAATTACTATTTAGTATAATGTTGAAGAGCAGAATGTTCAGGGATGAGATTTGAGGGCACAAGTTATAGCTTGATGTACATGCTTATGGGCATGTTTCAAGTGCCTAGTAAAACATGTAGTGACAGCAGGTAGCTGGGGGACAAGGGTAAATTCCATATGGAAACAGAAGTGTGTGTGCTACCATTTGAATGTGGTCAATAAATCTATGGGGATAGGGTGCCCAGCAGGTAAGGTACTGCAGCCAAGCCTACAAGTTGTCTTCTGATCTTCACACATACACAATCACATACTCACATACACACACACACATGACTTTCCAGTAGGTGCTTTAACTGAACTGTTATTCATTCCTTTAGTAACAAATTGATTTGTTTGGTTGTCTTAAACACTTCACTTTTACTTTCTTACATGTTGTTGTTTTTCAAATTTATTTTGTGGTGCTGGTAGTTGAACTCAAGCCTAGTCCATGCTAGCAAGCACTCTGCCAGTGAGCTATACTGAATGAGGGTGGGTATGTGTGTTTGTTTGTTTGTTTGTTTGTTTTTCTGAGAAGGTCTGGCCCAGAGTGGCCTCAAGTTCTCTGTGTAAAAAGGATGGCTGTAAAGTCTTGATCCTTCTGTCTCTACCTCCCAAATGCTGGGAATATGGGCATGTATCACCACACCTGTCCAAACTGAAAATTTTTTAATTTATTTTTATGTGCATGAGGATTTTGCCTACATGTATGTTTATACATGCTTGGTGCCTACAGAAGCCAAAAGAGAGCATTAGAATCATAGGGTTGGAATAATAGATGATTATGAGCTGCCATGTGTATGCTGGGAATCAAGCCTGGGCCCTTTGAAAAGTATTCTTACATTTCTTCAGCCCCCACCCCAAAATGCAGTATTTTTAAATTATGTATTGTGTGCACATGTGAGTGTCGGTGTTCACAGAAGCTAGAAGAGGGTGTTGGATGTCCTGGTGCTAATATGATGCTCAGAACTGAATTCAGGTCCTCCACAAGAGCAGCAAGTGCTCCTGACCACTGAGCCATCTCTCTGGCTCCAATCTGCAATATTTTATTCAGGGGAAAAAATAGTCCCTCACCATGTGATGCCAGGCCATCCTAAGACTCTGCCAACCATCAGGCTATTGCCAGTTGAGCCTTGATCTTGGGATAGAACCCAAGCTCAAATAAGATACTTTATAGTTAAAAGAAATAAATACATGAAACAGGTGTAGTGATGCCCACCTTTAATTCCAGGACCGGGGAGGCAGAGATGGGTAGATCTCTGTGAGTTCAAGTGCATCCCGGTCTGTGTAGACATTTCCAGGTCAGCTGGGGCTACACACTAAGAGTCTGCCTTTAAAAAAAAAGTTAAATTAGCTCAACACAAAAACAAGAATAACTTCACCCCAGCCTGGGCTGTAGTGTTGAGTTGGAGGCCAGCATGGACTGTATGGAGAAAACAAACAAATAAAACTAAAAAACTACAGCTGGGCATGTCAGTGCACACCTGTAAACTCAGAAGAACTCTGTGAGCCAAGGCAGAATGCAAGTCTAGAGCTAGTCTAAGACACTGTCTCTAAACACAACAAAAGCGAAAGAGGAAGAGTCTCATTAACAATCCCCTGAGATTTACAATGTAGAAGACTGGTTCTCATTTTCAAAGCTGCAAAATAACATTTTCCTTGTGTTTTTTAAAAAGCCCAAGCTCAAGAAGTCTCTAAGTGAGGACAAATACTACAAAATGAACTTCAAACATCAAGGAAGAGGGCTGGTGTTTATGTCTCCAAATGGTGAGTGTTTCAGCAGAGAACCTTGGTGTTCACAAACCATTGCTTCTAAGTTATACACAGTTATGGTCTGTGGCGCTTCGTAGCAGGCTTTGTAGGGCAGGGAGCAATACTCAGGATTGAACCTTGGGTTTCGCATGAACTGGACAAGTACTCTAATACAAACTACAGTGTCAGTCCTATGGTTCTGGTTCAACTATCTCCCAGCCCCCTCAGGTCTGAGAAACTCCCTCTTAGCACAGAGCTGCTTTTCTCTCTAGCCATAGTCTCATCCCATTCCCACTTTGAGATAGAGTCCAACTATGCAGCACAGGCTAGCCTGGAACTCGCTATGTAGGACCAGGACTGGCCTCAGACTCACAGACAGCCACCTGTTTCTGCTTTCTGAATTCTAGGATTAAGGGTGTGTACCACTACATCTTCCTGTACCCTGTTTTTAAAATGCATTTATTTATTTATTTATTTATTTGTTTGTTTAATTTATTTATTTGTTGAGAATGAGTTTTGTGTACCCCAGGCTGGCCTCTAACTTTATAGAGGTAGCTAAGGAAGATTTTGAATTTCCGATCCTTCCTGCCTCCTCTCTCAAGTGCTAGGTTAATAGGCATGCCACTATACCTGTTTTATGTAGCACTGGGGATCAAATCCAGGGCTTTGTGCATGCTGGTCAAGCACTCCTCCTCCACTAGGCTCACCTAGCTCTACTGTGTGAATGCAGTCCTGGGGATTTTCTTCCATTACGTCACTGACCCACTCAGCTGCATCTAGCCTGGATCCCATGACACAACAGGCCTGGGGTCCCTCCCTTCCTGACTATACTCTATAGCAGGCTGTGCACCACACAGCTTTCTTAAGACTCTGTCCTCTTGGTATACAGCTTCTCGTGGCTGTCCCTTCCTTGGCACTTTCTTCATTAATGGCTTATTCCTAGCAGTGTGCACACATGCATTCCCTGCTATAACCACACATGTGCTGTTTTGTCGAGTAAGAGTTTCCCCTAATCTCACCTGCCATCTCTGCACTTGCTGATGAAAGAAAGGCAGCAGTATTTCTTCCCCATGCCTCCCTTATCTCATCATTGCTCAAGGCTGCCGGTTTTCACAGGTTCTGTGCCTCCACCAATCCTGTGTTCAGGATAGAGCAGCCTCCTGTTTCCTTTGCCTTTGGGGTGAATCAGGTCAGCAAGTGTTTCTCCTGTGGTGGCCAGCATCCTCTCTAAGGACTATACTTAGTGAAAAACCTTTCCCAGACCAAGACATACAGTTTCATAACAGAAAGAGTTCTAAAGGGAAACCCAGTTAATGCTTTAAATTCATCTTGTGTTTATTTAGTGTATGTCTCTAGGCACTTATATGTGTAGGCATTAGTTTGCTACAATGTGCGTGTAGAGGTCAGGAAATTTTATTTTTCTACTTCCATGTAGGTCCCAGGGATTAAACTGAGGTTGTCTGCCTAGGTGGCAAGCATCTTTATCCTTGTCATACCTACTTTCTCTTTTTGTTTTTGAAATAGTGTCTCTGCTTTGTACCATTGATATTATTTGTTGGCAATTGGTCTTCAGTTCTAGCTGTATCTTGATTTGCCTTGCACCTCTGGCCCTTTTACAGTGATTGAATGCCCACTGTGTACTAGCTACTGTGCCCATGGCTACTGGTTTGTCTGCTGTCAAAGCCATTTTCTTGACCTACATAATCCCACTTCATCTGATGACCTCATCAGCATAGCTGTTGCTTACTATCTTCTGGCTAGCCTCCTCAGTAGAATGGGAATATAAGAAGCAATAATTCTTTATTTTTCAGACTTCTGACTTTAATAATTGGAGTCTTGGGTTTCATATAATTCCATTCTCTGAATTTTCTTTTCTTTTCTTTTTTTTTTTTTGTGGTTCTGGGGATGGAGTCAGGCTATTACATGTGCCTACCAGTTCACTCAACTATAAGCCCAGCCTTTGGGGTGAATCCTTAAATTTTAAAATTTGTCAAGTGACGAACAAGTTAGGATTGCGTCAAAGACTACAAAAATTAACAGGTATGGTGGGGCACACCTGTGATCTCAACACTTGGTAGATAGAGGCAGGAAAACCTGCCTTGGCAGGAACATAGTTCGAAACCAGCCTGGCTTACACAACTGTCTCAGCGCCACACCAAAAAGACTAGAAAAATTATGGTGATCTGGAAGAATTAGATACTATCTCAGAAAGAAAGGGAAGAAAGATGTTGACTCATGGGAAGTGTTTGGATTTCCAGCTCTCCAGAAGCCAGAGCTCACTAGGAAACAAAGTGGTTCTTGCCTTAGTGGCACTCAGGCTCTGAATATGCAGGAAACAGATAGTGTCATGTATTTGTCCCAGATGTCTAAAGGCCAGCCTGGCTGAGACTGGAGGTGCCACTGCAGAGTCTCTCAGTTCTGCCCATTCAGTCCCAGTCACTTCATGAAGGGTGAGGAGTACTATTTGGGAAGCTCTGATTTCTCCTTACATGTTTAACATGTCTGAGAAAATCATAAAATAATGCTAATTTGGTAGGTCTTAATTTCAGTAGATAATCAAGTCGGCATTTATGTTGGCAAAAGAATACATTGCTATTCTTGAGTAGCAAAATAATTTCTCAAGTATGAAATTTATTAAGTTGTAGCCTCAAGTATGACATTTGGTACAAACTCAGGGCCTGGGAAAATTTAGGAAAGTCTCAAAAGTGAATGTAAAAAATGATGCACTGGCTGGCCGTTGGTGGCGCACGCCTTTAATCCCAGCACGCGGGAAGCAGAGGCAGGTGGATCTCTGTGAGTTCGAGACCAACCTGGTATATAGAGTGAGTACCAGGACAGGCTCCAAAGCTACACAGAGAAACCCTGTCTCGAAAAACCAACCAAAAAAAAAAAAAAAAAAAAAGCACTGGTACACATTGATGAAGACACAAGAGTCAGATAGCTCTTTGGTTAAAAGCACATATTTCAGGGTTGGAGAGATGGCTCAAAGGTAAAGAACACTTGTTGCTCTTACAGAGAATCTGGATTCAGTTCCCAGTATGGACATGATGGTTCACAATCATGAACACCAAACACTCATGTGGTACATATAAATACATTCAGGTAGAAACACTTACACCTAAAAATAAATCTAACAAAAAAGTAAATCTTTAAAAAAAATTAAAAAGCAGATATTGCTCTGCCAAAGGGCCAGAGTTGAGTTCCACACACAACTGTCTGTAACTCTAGCTCCAGGGTCTTTACATCTATTCTGTACTCTTTAGGCACCTGCACTCACATGTACACATGTACCTCGCTCCTATATATATCCCATATATGTATGTATACACACACGCATACATACATATATAATTACACCTATTCTGTATTCTGCAGGCACCTACCTCATGTGTGCATGTACATCTCGCCCTCGTATATATCCTATATGTGTATGTCTGTGTGTATACATGAATGTATATGATTAAAAAAAAACTTGGCATGGTGGCATATGCCTTTAATCCCCTAGCACTTGGGAGGCGGGGGCAGGCAGATCCCTGTGAGTTCCAGGACAGCCAGAGCTACACATTGAGACTCTATCTCAAGGAAAACAAAACAAGTAACAACAAAAAATTTCTGCTGTTCAAGAAAAACAAAGACATGTGGGAGGTGGCTGAAAGGCAGGATTGACAGTCAGCCATGGGCTACTGTGCACTTGCTCTTCCCAGTTGTTGTGAATGCATTTTGCAATTTCTTCAGTCCTCACAGGCTGTAGTGGCACTGCATCACCACAGCTGGCAGAAATACCACACACACTGTACTGATGATTGTTTTAATTACACTGCATTGCAGAGAAATATGAAAAACCCAAAGATGAACAGAAAGAAAAACTCAACATGTGGGTGAACAACCTCTGCGTCTTCTTTGTGAATGTGCTCTTCAACGCCTACAAACATGAGGAGATGCTCAAGGAGAAAATGAAGGAAAACAGGCTCGAGGAAGCAGCACTAGCTCAGCAGAGGCAGATAGAGAATGAAGAGCTGGAAGCCAGGTAGGAGAGGGTCCCCAATTGTCCTCCATGGTACATGCTCAGCTTTCTTTCAGGAACTACCCAAAGCAGAAGGACCATGGGCTTACAGTGAAGCACACAATGATGCCCAGGACCACAGGCTTACAGTGAAGTTACAATGATGCCCTATGACCACAGACTTACAGTGAAGTTACAATGATGCCCAGGACCACAGGCTTACAGTGAAGTTACAATGATGCCCTATGACCACAGACTTACAGTGAAGTTACAATGATGCCCAGGACCACAGGCTTACAGTAAAGTTACAATGATGCCCAGGACCACAGACTTACAGTGAGGTTACAATGATGTCCTATGACCACAGACTTACAGTGAGGTTACAATGATGCCCTATGACCACAGACTTACAGTGAAGTTACAATGATGTCCAGGACCACAGGCTTACAGTGAGGTTACAATGATGCCCAGGACCACAGACTTACAGTGAGGTTACAATGATGCCCTATGACCACAGACTTACAGTGAAGTTACAATGATGTCCTAGGACCACAGACTTACAGTGAAGTTACAATGATGTCCTAGGACCACAGGCTTACAGTGAGGTTACAATGATGCCCTATGACCACAGGCTTACAGTGAGGTTACAATGATGCCCTATGACCACAGACTTACAGTGAGGTTACAATGATGTCCTAGGACCACAGACTTACAGTGAGGTTACAATGATGCCCTATGACCACAGGCTTACAGTGAGGTTACAATGATGTCCTATGACCACAGACTTACAGTGAAGTTACAATGATGTCCAGGACCACAGACTTACAGTGAAGTTACAATGATGCCCTATGACCACAGACTTACAGTGAAGTATACAATATCTAGAAGCATGGCCTTCACAGTAAAGCATACAATTATCTGTGTTGTTTTTGCTTTTTATATTCTTTTTGGCTTTTTGAGGGGCCTACCACCCAATTCCCAAATAAATTACACACAGAGGCTTATTTTTTGTTATAAATGCCTGGCCTTAGCTTGGCTTGTTTCTTGCCAACTTTTCTTAAATTACTCCATCTATCTTTGGCCTTGGGGCTTTTATCTTTCTTTATTCCTGTATACCTTTTCTTCCTTCCTACTCCATGTCTGGCTGGGTGACTGGGTGCCTGGCCCCTGAAGTCCTCTTCCTTCCTCTCTCATTCTCATATCCTAGATCTTCTCTCTACCAGATTTCTCCTCATATTCATCCTATCTACCTGCCAGCCCCGCCTAGCCTTGCTCCTACCTCGATATTGGCCATTCAGCTCTATATTAGACCATCAAATGTTTCAGAAAGGCACTGTAACACAGCTTCACAGGGTTAAACAAATACAGCATAAACAAGTCACACACCTTAAAATAATATTTCCTAACATACAATGCCCTAGTCTCTAATGGCACAAAAGAGAAAGACCTGAGGGCTAGAGATGTAGCTCAGTGGTAGCCGCTTGCCTAACACATGTGAGGCTTGGGTTTGGTCCCTAGCACTGGGACAAGATTTTTTAAAAAAGGCTTCTGCTCTTCCCAGAGATTCCAAAGCTTTTGTGTATTTTGCAGCTGGGTATGATGAAACCTACAAGCTCAACACTCAGGTGGGACAAAAGATAACCTCATCAGGCTACTTTCTAGCTACTTAGCTGTAGAGAAAAGTGTTCCCAGGTCACATTATCAACATAAAGATGTTACCTGGAGCACTCTAAATACAATAGACCATTTTATTCACAAGCACTGCTGAAATAGCATAAAAACTGGTTTTATAGCTAGCTAGATAGTTCAGGGGATAAGGGTGTGTACTGTTCTTCCAGAAGACCTGAGCTTAATTCCTAGCACCATGTCAGGGAATCAAACATCTTCTGGATTCTACGGGCACCTGCACTCATGTGCACATAACCTCCCATCCTGTGCACACAAATAAACATAGTTTTTGCTTATTTCTTGAGACAGTCACACTGTGTAACTTTCTGGCTGGCCTTGAACTCAGAGATATACCTACCTCTGCCTCCCAAGTGCTGGGATTAAAGGTGTGCACTGCCACACCCAGCTACCACATACTTTTTTTGAAAAATAAAAATATTTAAAACTGATTTCAAAATTTCACAGAAAAAAAATAGCTAAGTTCTCATTTTGATTTTTAGGCTGAACATCCTACGGGAAGAAGAGGCCAAAAGACAAGACTTCGATGTTGACATCAGTGTGCTCAAGGAGCCCTTGGATGCTCCATCCTCCCAGCCACCCACACCCAGCCCTCCTAAAGAAGAGTTGGCTTCCACCCAGAGCAGCAAGACCAGCCCTGGCAAGAAGAAGAAGAAGTGAAGGTACTGGGTGTCATGGTTGAGCTGCAAAGACAGGCAGACATAGAAACTGTGACAAATGTCCCATAAAATAAAGGGTTTGCACTTAGTTCCTGATTTGAGTGTCTAAGATGCTTTACCTTGGTTCACGTATTAAGTTTCTTGTATGGCTGCATTTGCAAAAACCAAACTGAATAAGTATGTAGACATGCACATATTAGTAAATGTGTATTAAATATATTTTTGTAAATCAGTATTACCTGGGTATAATGGCCCATCCCAGCACTTGGGAGATATAGGCAGGAGATACAGTCAGACTACATAGTGAAACTCTGTCTCAAAAAAACAAAACAAAAATAGGAGTTAGAGAGCTAGCTCAGTGCTTATGAGCATTTTCTGCTTTTGCAAAGGACCCAAGTTTGGTTCCCAGCATTCACACTGGGGCAGCTTACAACAGTCTGTAACTGCAGCTCCAGGAGATCTGGCACTGTGTTCTAGACTTTATAGATACAAGTAACATGTACACATAAAAATAATAAATAAATATTAAATAAAAAACCAAGGTGGAGAGTGATAGAGGAAGACATCAAAGACATCCAAGCTCTATCTCTGGCTTCCATGTGAACATGGATGAGCACACCCATACATATATAGACACGTGCATATATACCTCACTCATGTGCACAGACACACACCCATGCACCATAAGTACACACACACACATACACACACACACACACACACACACACACACACACACACACACAGGCACACTAAGATGGAGAGCAATATAGGAAGACACCAATGTTGACCTCTGGTCTTCATACTCATACACTCGTATGTGATTTGCACACCTATACACATTATCTGCTTAAACATAAATACATACACATGATTATAATATACAAACACACACACACCAAACTAAGACAATGGCAAAGGAGTCGAAAACCCATAAGAAGTGTTACACTTTTGAGTCTACATATTAGTCCTGCAAAGCAGACATAGTCCCAGGGAGGATTACCATCTTGACCAGAGAAACAAAAGATCTGAAAATAGCAAAATAAAACTCAACTAAAAGTTTGAATTAATACACAACTCTGGAGCCAGAATGCAACTGAGAATAAATGCTGACTGAAACAAACACATGCAATTCCAAATAACACATCACAGACAACCACCATCTCACTGAGATGCAACCACAATCTCTTCAGGGAACACACACAGAAAAGCCCAGTGTGTGAGGAACTAAAAACCAGTCTTTTTTTTTTTTTTTTGGTTTTTCGAGACAGGGTTTCTCTGTGGCTTTGGAGGCTGTCCTGGAACTCACTTTGTAGACCAGGCTGGCCTCGAGCTCACAGAGATCCGCCTGCCTCTGCCTCCCGAGTGCTGGGATTAAAGGCGTGCGCCACCAACGCCCGGCTCTAAAAACCAGTCTTAAGTTATGCATGGGAGGAGAAAAAAATCATAATGGAAATTGTGGTTATTTTGAACCAAGGCAAAATGAAACCAATACAAATTGATGAAGCTGCTTCCTCACCCCTAATGCAGTAGGTTCACGGAGGTTATGACAAGCAGATTGCAGAGTTGCTTTGGGGGCTAGGAAATAGTGTGTTTTCAGACCACTCAGCTAATTTTCTTCCAGATCCTAGGCTGTCCAGATCACCAAAATAGGATTACGTAAAATTCAACCATATTTCACCTCAGCTGTGAAGAGATGCAGGGTGCCATGGCTCTTAGAAGGGCTTCATGACAAAGGGAAACAATTTCTGGTTAGATCACTCTGGGGTGATTGTATCAGCACCCCCATGAATAGGCAGACCCCAACACTGAGAATCCCACACTGTCAGAATACTGACTGTTAGTTTTGTTTTGTTAAGATTTTTATTCTTAATTGTATGTATGCACATGTGTACATGTGAGTACAGGTACCCAAGGAGACTGAAAGAGGGCATGAGACCCTCTAGAGAAGTGGTTCTCAACCTGTGGGTCGAATGACCCTTTCACAGGGGTTTTATGTCGGATATCATGTATATAGATATTTACATTACGATTTATAACAACAGCAAAATTACAGTTATGAAGTAGCAACAAAAGTAATTTTATGGTTGGGGTCACCACAATATGAGGAACTGTATTAAAGGGTCACAGCATTAGAAGGTTGAGAACCAATGTCCTAGAGCTTGAGTTATTGGAGGTTGTGAGTCACCCAAGTCAGTGCTAAGAATTGAACCTAAGTCCTCTGCAAGAGCAGCCAGTGCTCTTAACAGCTGAGCTGTGTCTCCAGCTCCCGACTGTGAATTTTGAACCCTACTGCCCAGTGCAGTCAAACAACTAGCAACAGAAGACTCAACAGGAAACCAGAATTCTTAAAAACTTTAACAATTTATTAGTCTTATTTCCCAGTAAAATATCCACATAATGTCAGAAGAATGGAATGATATTCAGCTGACTACTTTTAATTCCACATAAATATTTAGCATCTAAAAACCTCAAGGAATCATCAGACCAAGTAGAAATTTGATTTTTCAAAGCAGGTATTGCTTTACTATTGTCACTAACCCAGTCAATGTCATGACCAGTAAGTTGTAATGGTAAACAAAAGGTTTGCTGAGGTTTTTAAAGAAGTTCTGTAGAGCCACTGGAGTCAATCCAAGAAGAAGATATTATTGAACTGTGTGGCGCAGAGTTTTTTCACCTCTTCTGCAGAAAGAACAGAAAACTGTGTCAAGGAAACAGCTTCTTTCTTTACAGGTTAGACGGTTTTATTGGTACTTTCAGTTCTTTGGGGATAAAGTTAGGAAATAAGTAAGTCTATGTTTATTGAATTTAAATTCCAGAAGCATAAGCAACAATAACAGCAGCAACAACAATGACCAACAGAGAAGGCAGTCAGGAAAACAAGTAACAAATTCTTAGGCCTTGTTTCCCAACACACTAGAAATATCTCTTCTGGGGGTTCGGAAGACCTGGTTTGTGGAGTGCCTGAGACACTCATGGGTCAGGGCATTAAAAGCTCTTTAGAAGCTGATGGGGTGCACCAAAATTCTGGCTACAATCTTGAAATGTAAATCAAGTGCTTCACAGAGATAATGGCCTTCATTTTACTACACTTCCACCTCATTTTCATTTCTGTGGTTCTAAGTAGCCCAGAGTCTTGAGTATGCTACACAAATGCTGTGCCATTGAAATACATGCCCACTCCTCTAAATTCCTATTTTAATTTCATGCATGCACTAACTGATGCTTTTCATGTATACAAATATTAATGCAAAGTACATATAAAATGTGTTAAGGCTGGGCACAGTGAGGCTGCCTGTAATCACAACATTTATTTTATTTTATTTTTTTGTTTTTTTTGAGACAGGGTTTCTCTGTGGCTTTGGAGGCTGTCCTGGAACTAGCTCTTGTAGAACAGCTGGTCTCAAACTCAGAGATCTGCATGACTCTGCCTCCCTAATGTTGGGATTAAAGGCACGTGCCACCAATACCCAGTTTAATCACAACCTTTTGGAGAAAGGCCAGAGGTAGGTATTTAAGTTCAAGGTTGGACTGGTCTACATAGCAACTTTCAGGCCAGCCAGTCTTGAGATCTTGTCTCAAAAAGACAAAACAAAAACCCCAAAACAAAAGAAAAGACGTAAGACTCTTGATTTCCTTTACAGTGGGATATGTTCCCCTACCTATGCTGCTGTTAGTACTACTCTACAGCTGAGCAGCAGAGAGGCCCAACACCACCCTTTCCCCATGACAACATTCATTAATGCCCACAAAGCAGCTGCTGGACCACACTGTGCAGAGCCAGACCAAACCCACTTTGATGGGAAGGCAGAAAATAGCTGTCTGCATTCTTCTGCTCATGTGCAGATGGTGACAGCTGGAAGTGTCATGCCAATTTGGCAGCCTGTTTAGAGAGACTTATTCTCATCACAGGATATATAAAAAGACATTTGTACACAGTGTGTACAGCAACACTTCAGAAAAGAATCTTTTCTTTTTTTGGTTTTTCAAAAAGTTTATCCATGTAGCTGGCTCTCACTCTGAAGACCAGGCTGGTCTTAAACCCAGAGATCCTCCTACCCCAGCCTCCCAAATTCTGGGATTAGAGTGCACCACTACAGTCCAGAGAAAACAACTTTCTCTTAAGGCACTCTTAAATTTAAAACTTCATATTTGTGTGTGTGTGTGTGTGTGTGAGCGCATGCGTGCGTATGCATGCATGTATGTAGGCGTGGACATGCATGTGTATGCCATGGCCCATGTGTGGAGGTCAGAGGACAACTTGTGTGTCTCAGGGATCAACCTTATGTCATCAACCTTGGCAGCATGTCCCTATATCCACTAAGCCATTTCACAGGTCCTGTTTACTTTTTCTAGACAGGGTCACATGTAGCCCAGGATGACCTCAAACTTACTATGTAGTTGAGGATGGTATTGAACTCTTGATCCTTCTACCTCAACCTCCCAAGTACTGGGATTACAGGTGTGCACCATGAGTAGGTTCTATAATGTTTCTTAATACAGGGAAAAGATAATTTTGAAATGCCAGTGGCATTAAAATTGAAATACCAAATCCTATTTACCATTGACTTCAATCAGGTTTGCATTTTTTTGATTCAGAATCACATACAGCTCCCGCTGATCAGACTTCTTCCCAACAACCCAGTAATCGCTCATGGCTTTCACAATGATTTCTTCATCTTCATCTGCTCTGTAAGAAAGTTTCAGATGGGACAGTTTTATATACACAGCTCAACTGTCAGGAGAAAAGGAATTCAAAACAAGAAATGGCAATAAACTGTCCTTATAAATAGTCAAGAAGTTACGTGTAAATAAAAGGCAACTTTGTGTGATGTGGGCATAGCACCCACAAGTGGCTCTGCGTCACTTGGCTTAAAGGAAACGAATTAGCTGGGCATGCTGGCATATGTCTATAATCCCAGCACTGGGAAAGCTGAGGCAGGGGGATTGTGAGTACCACCTAAGCTATAGAGTGAAACTTATAAACAAACAAATAAAAAATAAATACAATTCCTTTAAATCTATTCTCAGAAAGACAACACCTACTTTAAGAAGGTGCTAGAATTACCTGGTAAAGTCACTGTTGAT